CAATGAGGCTGTATATGCAAATAACCTCTGTGTTCTGACTGGCTATGGGGGGGGAGAAGAACAGCAAAATGTTTAGAATGTTGGTGGCAGGACTCAGGCAAAGCAGCCAGTGGATAGGGAGACACTCTGAGTGACAGATCAGAGAGCAAACTGATTTTGGAGTGTGTGGAATGTTCTAGAGAAGTGCCACCACCATTCGGCTTTTATTTATAAGGGAGATGGCTCTCATATATTTTGTTGATTTCCATATTTTGGACCACTTATCTGTTTCTATATTATGTCCTATGTCTTTCATCAATGAAATCATAGTATGTTTAACTATTTCATCTTGCATATAATCTTCTATAAGTAGATTATACAGTTTCTGGATCAATTTATCGTTGGGTGAGAGCCATATCTTGTCCAGTTCAGATCCTGCTTAGCTTCTGAGGTCTAATGAGATCAGGCTAGCCTGGGCCATCCAGGTCTGGGTACTAGAAGGACCGAATTCTAGGGCCAGGTCTCCCTGAGAGGCAGGGTCCATGGAGCTGGACCAATCATGCGGTTCGTTATCATATTATTAGGTCCCAGTTATGTTGCTTTTTTATTCTTTGGCCAGTTTGGTGTAGTGGTGAAGTGCGCGGACTCTAATCTGGGAGAACCGGGTTTGATTCCCCACTCCTCCGCTTGCACCTGCTGATGTGACCTTGGGTCAGTCACAAGCTCTGGCACAGCTGTCCTTGAAAAAGAGCAGTTTCTGTCAGAGCTCTCTCAGCCCCACCCACCTCACAGGGTGTCTGTTGTGGGGAGGGGAAGGGAAAGGAGTTTGTAAGCCGCTCTGAGACTCCTTTGGGTAGTGAAGGGAGGGGTCTAAATCCAATCTCTTCTTCTCTTCTTCTTCTTGGTTGGGGGAGCAAATAGTTCTAGAGAACAGTTCCCCCTTAAAACCCTCTCTTCAAAGCTTGAATTAATGTTTTGGAATGTGAAATGGAAATTGGAACCTCAGGTAAATCCTGGCCCAACCATTTTGATATGCTTTTAGCAGGGCAGGATGTTTGAAAGGAGAAAGGATCGTAGGTTTCTTTGTGTCAGATACCCTTGACATTGTTCTCAGGACCAAGATAAGCTGCATATCGAAGTGTCTTTGGACCTTCTCTTACTTGCCCCCATTGAATTACCATTCCACTTAAGACTTCTGTAAATAGGTAGGATGCAGGTCCAATACCTGAGCCTGTTTCGGTGGGGATTTGATAAATAAGTAAATACACGGAACAAAATGTTTTGCTGTCATAGCATGTATTTTGTGATTTTGCACGTCTGATGAATGGAACTGCGGTGGCTCAAGTGGTTAAGACGCTGAACTGCAGGCTGTGGAAGGTCGGTAGTTCAGCAGTTCGAGACCCGGGTGCCGCAAGACGGAGTGAGCTCCCGTCTCTAGTTCCAGCTCCTGCCAACCTAGCAGTTCGAAAGCAAGAAATTGCAAGTAGATAAATAGGTACCACTTCGGTGGGAAGGTAACCGCGTTCCGTGTGCCTTGGTGTTTAGTCATGCCGGCCACATGACCACGGAAACGTCTTCGGACAGCGCTGGCTCTTCGGCTTTGAAATGGAGATGAGCACCGCAACCCTAGAGTCGGATTTGACTGGCTTTCGAGCAAGGGAAGCCTTTACCTTTACCTTACGTCTGATGAAGAGGACTTTGGCTTGCAAAATCTTCTGCTATGGTCCATTTGTTAACCTTTACGTTGGTGCTTATACAGGAACATCTTGGCAGCTGCAATTAAAACTTGATGCTATTTTCACATTCTACAAAAAAAGACTAACTTTTAATCTTGTGTATCTTTCTTTGAATAGACTAGTATCATATGTGAACTGGCTTTCATTCTTTTGGGGTCAGTGGTTCACTCTTGCAGTTTCCTGCCAAGGTTAAAAGGTGTGTTGGATTTAGTTCACTTGTTGGCGGTTACAATAGGTAACTCCTCTTGCCAAATATATATATATATAGCCCAGAATAACTCAGCTTGTTGTACATAAGCAATTTCCTGAGGAACTAGTAACAGTTTTGAATTTGACATGTGTGAAAATTAGTGGACTTGCCAATAAGCGGGACGTGCTTAAGGGACAACAGGGCAGTGGGGGAAATGCACTGCTGTACTATCGAGAACACCATATTGACTGTAAAATTCGGAAGTGAGTAAGGGAGCACCAAAACTGTTTTATGATTTTTGTTAATTATTTAACTATCTTCTTGTCTTTTTGTATTTTATACTGTTTTATTGTTATTATTTGGCGGGGAGCCTACGGGGAGGGCGGGATACAAATTTAAATAAATAAATAAATAAGTTGTGAATACCTCCGCAGGAATTCATTAGGGACGTCACACCAAATCATGGTTTTGCCCTGGCTGTAGTTTAGAAACTCAAACATGCCTCTATGTCTGTAGGGCAGCAGCATCCAGAGTTTTGTTTATTTATGTTGCCTCTCCACCCAATTCAGGGTCCCCCAGGTGGCAAACATTAAAACATTTTAGACATTAGAAGGGCCTGAATGGCCCAGGCTAGCCCAGTCATGTCAGATCTCGGTAGGTGAGCAGGTTCAGCCCTGGATAGTACTTGGATGGGAGACCCCCAAGGAGGTCCAGAATCACCATGCAGAGGCAGGCAAATGCAAGCTACCTCTGAACGTCTCTTGGCTTGAAAACCCTACAGGGTCGCCGTAATTCAGCTGTGACTTGACGGCACTTTCCGCCGTCACACAGCGTTTAAAATAATGTTTACAAGATTTTTTTAAATGTCAGCTACTATTCCAAAAGGAAGTTGTTGTCAGATGTGTCAAAATAAAAATCCAAAAACCCAGAACATAAGAGCATAAGAGATGCCAATGTTGGATCAGGCCAAAGGCCCATCCAGTCCAACACTCTGTGTCACACAGTGGCCAGAAATACCAGGGGCCATCAGGAGGTCCACCAGTGGGACCAGGACATTAGAAGCCCTCCCATTGTTGACCCCCCCCAAGCACCAAGAATACAGTGCATCATCTGCCCCAGCCTGTGAGTTCCTATCTATATCTTGTGGCTAATAGCCACTGATGGACCTCTGCTCCATATGCTTATCTAATTCCCTTTTGAAGCCGTCCATGCTTGTAGCTGCCACCACTTCCTGTGGCCGTGAATTCCAAGTGTTAATCACTCTTTGGGTGAATAAGCACTTCCTTTTATCCTTTCTAACCCAACCGCTCAGCAATTTCATTGAGTGCCCACGAGTTCTTGTATTGTGAGAAAGGGAGAAAAGTACTTCTTTCTCTACCTGCTCTATCCCATGCATTATCTTATAAACCTCAATCATGTCACCCCTCAGTTGTCGTTTCTCCAAGCTAAAGAGCCCTAAGCGCATTAACCTTTCCTCATCCACCTTGTGTTGGGACCACCTTGATGGCATTTTCCACCATTGTACACACACATAGAAACACACAATGAGGGAGGAACATTAATAAGAATTAGTGAGAAAATGCCAGAGAGAAGGAGGGACAGCATGGACAGCTTAAAGAGGGAACTGGATAAACATCTGGAGTAGAGGTCCATCAGTGGCTATTAGCCACAAGATATAGATAGGAACTCACAGGCTGGGGCAGATGATGCACTGTATTCTTGGTGCTTGGGGGGGCAACAGTGGGAGGTCTTCTAGTGTCCTGGCCCCACTGATGGATCTCCTGATGGCACCGGGTGTTTTTGGCCACAGTGTGACAGCAGAGTGTTGGACTCGATGGGCCATTGGCCTGATCCAACATTGGCTTCTCTTATGTTCTTATGTGGGAGGGATCTCCCTGGGTAGGGGGTTTCAAAGTTTCAACACGATGACTAAGAAGGCTCTTTCTCAGGTTACCACCCATCTAGCCTCAAATGGTTGGAACTCTAAAGATGACCAGAGTGGTCGGTTAGGTTTATACAGGAGGTGGTGGACCTTCAGATATGTTGGCTCCAGGATGTATAGGGCCTGAAAACAAATTGGGAGCCAATGTAGCTGGAACAAGACCGGGGTGATAATAGTCCTACAGCCCACAGCATTCTGTACCAACTATAGCTTCTGGACAGCCTTCAAGAGCAGCCCCATATAGAGCACATTGCAGTAGTCTAGTGAAGATGTTACTGGGGCATGCACCGTAGTGGCAGGATCTTGCCTACTCAGAGTGATAGATTGATATCTGTGGGTTGTCAGTTCAGATATCACACCAGAGTGCAGTTCACGCAAAACATGGCCAGGGCCAAGCATGGAGATGAAATGGGTACATTTTATTGGGGGAATCAAATGATTGTTAACCGTGATTTGGCAAACTGTATGAACTGAGCTAGTGGCATGGTTCAGTCATGCTGCTGTTTCATAATAGCTTGTACTTAATTCTTGTCATAGAAGGTGGAAGGAAAGGCATCTCTGATGAATTAGCTAGGAATGACGTACTTATTTCTTTCCTGATCTTCCTTAGCCCGGCTGCTCAGAATGCAAAACATTTCCCAGAATGCAAAACATCAACTCACCCCTTCCTGTTAGTCCAAGTTGAAAGCATACCTAACTGTAGAGATGGCTAGGCATTACAGTTTTGCTAACAAGATTAATGTAAAACATTCCAACTTATGGCCATCGTATGAATTAATTATCAAAATGTCCGATCGTTAACAGCCTTGCTCAGGTCTTGCAAGCGGAGGGCTTTTGTGGCTCCCTTGATTGAGTCAATCCATCCTCATGTTGGATCTTCCTCTTCTCTTGCTGCCTAGCATCATTGTCTTTTCCAGTGACTCCTGTCTTCTCATAATGTGACCAAAGTATGACAGCCTCAGTTTGGTCAATTTAGCTTCTAGGGAAAGCTCAGGAGTCCATATTAAGGAGATGAAGAAAAAACGAGTGTTTATCTGAATACGACAAAGTGTTTTTGCTTCATGACTAGCCATTTTTATTTGTTTTAAGAAACACATTGATGGTGATTCCCTCTTTCATCCATAACTGGTTCCCTCTTGCTCCTCCAAATCAGGTTGGCGGTACAAAAGCTGGAGTGGTGCGTTTCCTGGGGGAGACTGACTTTGCTAAGGGAGAATGGTGTGGAGTTGAATTAGATGAACCGCTGGGGAAGAATGACGGAGCAGTCGCTGGAACCAGGTAGGCTCACAATTCTCAAGAAAGGCAATGTTTCTGGGGTCTTGAAGATGCCTTTGTAGTCTCAGGGCCAAACTAGACAAACTCTGGGCATTCTGTGAATGTATCTTCCCAGTGAGGGTTTATTTTTCATAGGTAATGTGTAGCTGGGAAAGATTGAAGGTCAAAGAAGACGGGGATGGCAAAGGATGAGATGGTTAGACAGTGTCATAGATGCAACGAACATGAAGTTGAGCAAACTTCAGAGGACGGCGGAAGACCGGAAGGCCTGGCGTGATCTGGTCCTTGGGGTCGCGAAGAGTCGGACTCGACTGTGCGACTGAACAACAACGTGTAGTTGCAGAGAGTTGAGGCTTAGGTGTGGGGAGCGTAGTTTAGCACACATGGTGGGGTTGTGACTAACAAGAGGAGGAAAGGGGAAAGAAAACTCAATATAAGTAAACAGGTCAAATAACCAAAGGCTGAGAAAAACATGATAAACCAGTGAGGGAGGAAATAAATTTAATAAACGCCATTAGAAATCCCATAAGAATATATGGAATATAATATAAGAAAACTTCCCTAACCAGTAAAGGGAATAGCACACTAAATCGTCGCACAAGTGATCACCAAACATATTTCAGCCAAAAAAAATCAGCCTTCATCAGTGGGAACAAAATTCTCTAAAATGACCGTATAAACATATCTGTCCTGAATCAGGTAAGCATGTCAAAGCTGAAAAAAGAATTTAAAGCATTTTTAAAAAACTAAAATTAGATTAATTAAAATTAAACAAATAACAGACTGACTGTAGAATTGGTATCTTCCTATACGTCAGTCTTCAGAATGGCTCTACTAAATTCACGGAAATCTGAAAGTGTATTAATAGATTAAATGACCCCCAAAACAGACAATCACACACAACAGAGTGTGAGAGAATTGTAAGATGAATCGGATATTTCCATTTTATTTATAAAATTCAAATATCTGTTTACCTGTACAATTATTTCACTATAAATACATATGGAATTAACCATTCAGAATGAGTGCTTTAATGGATTATTAAGAATGTCCAAACATGTATATATTCGTTCATTGAGACTAAACTGGACACACCTGCATATGAGATATCTGCTGTAAGTAGCCCGTGGCTGCCAGCCAAATATCCTTTTTTTCTCAAAGTGAAAGGCCAATGACCATGCGGATTCACACACAAAGTAGAATGCTCACAGTCAGAGGTTACATAATGGACATCAATGTTCCCTCTATTTTTCCCCTCTATTGATTGCAGCAGTTCACATCCTGAGCAGAACATAACTGCTGTAATCTTAAAATGGGCAAGGGGCAGTGTAAGACCCTGCATGGCTCCAGACTGCTTACGAGAGGGGTTGCCTGTGTTAATGAACGGCCGCTCATGCGCACAGCTTAGAGGGAACACTGACAGGCATCCAGTCAATCTCCTCATTTAAACCAAAATGTACAAACAGCTTTAAGGTATAGACTGAGTTGGAGTCCTTTTGAATATTCCTAATATATAGGAAGATACGAATTCTACAGTCAGTATGTTTCCTTTTAACAAATTTCATTTCAGATGTTGTTTAAAATATTCTTAACCTTGGGTCAGTCACAAGCTCTATCAGAGCTGTTCTTGAAAAAGAGCAGTCTCTGTCAGAGTTCTCTCAGCCCCACCCACCTCACAGGGTGTCTGTTGTGGGGAGGGGAAGGGAAAGGAGTTTGTAAGCCGCTCTGAGACTCCTTCAGGAGTGAAGGGCGGGGTATAAATCCAGTCTCTTCTCTTCTTCTCTCTTTGTCATTTTGTTTGCATTTGTTTTTCGGGCGGCACATTGAAGTGCTTTACCTGATCCTCAGGATAGATAAATGTGTATGTGGTCATTTATATGATGGTACATGTAGTTCCCTTGAGAAATTTTTTTCCACCGATGAGGGCAATTTCTTGCTGAAACATGTTTTGGTGGTCAGTTAAATAATGATTTAGTGTTCTGGTATCTTAACTTGTTAGATAAGTTATTAGCTAATGTATTACATTTCATATATTTTTGACGAATTTCTGGTGGCAGTTATTAAATGTATATCCTCCCTCCCTGTTTTTTCTCAGACCCTTGAGTGTGAAACTAACACACACTCTCTTTGGGTGTTACCAGTGAACAGGAGATGGCAAGCAGAGAAACGGACCTATCTTCTTTAGTTTCCATGGCTAATTGAAGCTTTGCAGGGAAACATACAGGGAAACATACAGGATTCCCCACTCCTTCACTTGCAGCTGCTGGTGTGACCTTGGGTCAGTCACAAGTTCTCTCAGAGCTGTTCTCTCAGGGGCAGTTCTCGAAAGAGCTCTCTCAGTCCCACGTACCTCACAGGGTGTCTGTTGTGGGGAGGGAAAGGGAAAGGAGATTGTGAACTGCTCTGAGACTCCTTTGGGTAGTGAAGGGCCATGGGGTATAAATCCAATCTCTTCTCTCTTCTTCCTTCCTTCCTGCCTTGGAACATAGTGGACTATGAAGGTTAGGGGTTGAGGGTTGCTACATATGATCAGGAGCATGCGTTTGAGGGGGCTGTACTTTTAATGAAATTTTAAAAACTGAGTCAGTACAATTAGGCTAAAGCTCTACTGGAGCAGTTGAATTACCTTGTGTTCTATGTTATTATCTCTATTGACTTCTTAGCAGCGTCGTTTTTAGAAACTACTGTATTGACTTGAAGCAAAGCACTGAAGAGAGTGTGCCGCGCATGCACATACATGCACAGTTGGTTTAATATATTTGGACAGAACTGTATATAACTGGAGGATGTTTTCACCTTTGGATGGCGTTGTTTTGTTTTTGGTTTTTTTTTTTGTCCTCTAAAGGTACTTCCAGTGCCAACCGAAATATGGCTTGTTTGCCCCCGTCCACAAAGTCACCAAGATCGGCTTCCCGTCCACCACGCCGGCGAAAGCCAAGACGGCGGTCAGGAAAGTCATCGCGACGCCCTCGAACCTGAAACGCAGCCCAAGTGCCTCCTCCCTCAGCTCCCTGAGTTCCATGGCTTCATCCGTAAGCAGCAAGCCCAGCCGTACAGGACTAGTAAGCTTCTTTTCCTACTGCATGCTTTATGCCCGTTCCCCCTCCCTCCCAACAGAGATTGGCTCTACACATGGCCTGTGGGTGGCTTCTGTAAAACGGAGGGTCACGGGAAGGTCACCATCCATTTCCCATTGTCCATGGTGGGTCAGTTCCGGAGCACTCAAAGCATGCATGAAAAAAACCTTAGCTAGCCCTGGAGAATAGAAGAGGGGAGTTTATCTTCGATACCTTAACAACTAACCCAAGCTAACACTTGCCACTTAAATAAGAAAGGGGCATATGATACCTTTATAAAAGCGAAGGGATTCCGAATGATCCGCCAGCGCACCTACTTGTAAGCAGGTCCCTTTGCAGTCCTCAGGGCTTGCTTCCAAGTGACATCTCTCAAAATTGTGGTGTGGATTTCTGACCACCATTAGTTTCAAGAGAAAAATTTGTGATGCGAGCTAAATTTTTTGTACTTGCACTCTCATCTGAAGATTGGCTTTGCTGAGAGCTGCTTTTTTTTGGGATATAAAATGGCCAGTAAATTTGTCCTAACCTAAAATTTTCAATTTTTTGAAGTTGTAAGTGGTACAGAAATTGGACTAGGTAAATAAAATGTGTTTTTTTCCCTGGTGACAAGGCCTCTTTCTTTGGCTTCAAGTTAACCATAGCCTCTTATAAGATCTTGTAAAAATAGAGTTAATTTAAATGTCTTACGTATCGCAGATCAAATGCTTAACTGTACCATTAACATTTAAATTCAGTATCACAATCTTGGATCACCTGCAGCAAATAGAAACTTGAAATTCTTCCGTATAAATTAAGATTGTAAAAATAGTTTTGAAGGAATCCAGGCATTCCAGGGAATTCCAAAGATTTTCTTATTTACACTGCAGTGCTTGCGTCTAGTTCATGTAACTTTTTAACAGGTCATAGTTGCCGATCAGGTATCATAGTTGGAGCTTTCTTCTTATGCCTCTCACCACAACCCAGCTGAGCAAGCCAGTGGGGGTCTAACCTACCTAAGTGAGCTTCATGGCTGAAATATTTGTACACTGCTCTCCCTGGCTGAAGTGCAGCACTTGTTTACGGCATTATGCTAGTTATTATGACAGACTGCATTCACAAGACTTGCCAACAAAGTTCGAAAACAGAGAGCGTCGCAACCATTACCAGCATGGGCACCTGGACCCATAGCTAAATGAATGTGGCAAAGAAGCTCGAGCTCCTAAATAAAAAGGAGGGCTCTCTAAATTAGTGAACGGTTACTTGCTTCAGCCTTCCCCTGCTATGAATTGGGGCAGTGAGGAAGGAATGTGCATCTGTCCATTGGGAATTGAGATGGTAGAATCTTTTATCCCCATGTAAATTAAGCAGGGGCAACAATGCATTCTGGATTCAGGTCCAGAAGCACCATAGAGAGCAACAAGATTTGTGGGGTATAAGCGTCTAGGGGTCAAAGCTCCCTTCATCAGATACAAGTTGGAATGGAGATCTCTGAGTCCTCATATCCCAGTCAGAATGTGCATTCTAATAACCAATCACCAGAGGAGAGGAGGAAGAGAAGGAGAAGGAGAAGAAAAGATTGGATTTATGCCCCGCTCTTCACTCGAAGTCTCAGAGTGGCTTACAACCTCCTTTCCCTTCCCCTCCCCACAACAGACACCCTGTGAGGTAGGTGGGGCTGAGAGAGCGCTGAGAGAACTGTCCTTGAGAGAACAGCTCTGACAGACTTATGGCTTGCCCAAGGTCATCCAGCAGCTGCACGGGGGGGAGTGGGGAATCAAACCCGGTTCTCCCAGATTAACAACATAAGAGAAGCCAATGGTGGATCAGGCCAGTGGCCCATCCAGTCCAACACTCTGTCACACAGTGGCCAGAAATACCAGTTGCCATCAGAAGGTCCAGCAGTGGGGCCAGGACACTAGGAGCCCTCCCACTGTTGACCCCCCCCATGCACCAAGAAGACAGAGCATCCCTTGCCTCAGAGTTCCTATCTATACCTTGTGGCTAATAGCCACTGATGGATCTCTGCTCTATATCCGCACACATAACCACTACACCAAACCGGCTCTGTGGGTCAGTGGTAATGTACCTGATTTGCATGTCACAGATCCCAGGTTCAATCCCAGGCATGTCCCATTAATAGAATTCTGTCATAGGTGATATGAAGAAAGACCTCTACCTGACGGCCTCTGCCAGTCAGCACAGACAACACTGAACCTGCGGTTAGATCCGTGGTCTGGCTCAGGATAACGCAGCTGCATGGGTACGGAACAGCTCTTACCCCTGAGTTCATTTCGAGCAGTTCTGTTTTGATTTCTGCCAAGCGTTTCAGAAATGGACCCACAACAATGGCAAGAGTTCCGTCTATCAGTAATCTTAACGTTCCTTCAAATTTTTCATGATACGATCAGCGTCCTGCTTCTTGCTGCATGTGATTCCAGGTTGCCAGCTATGCGAGCAACGTCTTTGGCATAACAGAAGGGCGTTTTCTTGTATTTAGTCGGCACTCATGCAGAAGAATCCCTAGCAGCTTAACAAGCTAATCTACATTTGTGGCTCCCACCTTAGATTGAGGCCAGCCCTTGGCTTCCTTTTGAACCCTTGTTTGCTGATTGCCCTATTAATGGCCTTGTGCGCAGGTACGTTCACTCCCTTTCTTGAACTTCTGATTGACTAGGATGACAAGTACCAGCTTTGTCAGCCTTTTCCCAAGACTCAGTGGCTGTCCGCCCCCCTCCCACATTGCGTGGAACAGGCTGTATGCCGTGCCAAACCTGTTCCTGGTGTGATGAGCACTCAAAGAGAAAGACAGCAGGAAGCTATAGTAGTTCCCAACTATCTCTGCATAGCACTCCACGGATCTCTGCTCTTCCACTTCTCGCGTGGCCATCGTGACGCCGAACGAGGTTGCCCAAGTGATGTCTCCTCGTTTGTTTTCAGTCACTATGCTAATATTAACACACAGCACACTCACATTATGCATGTTTGTTGTGCTTAGGCAGAGCCAGAAGTGATAACAAGTGGTGTTGGAAGGAATAATCAAGAGTCATGAAAACATACGATAAGCCAATGGTGGATCAGGCTGATGGCCCATCCAGTCCAACACTCTGCCACACAGTGGCCAAAAATACCAGGTGCCATCAGGAGGTCCAGCAGTGGGGCCAGGACACTAGAAGCCCTCCCAGTGCTGCCCCCCCAAGCACTGAGAATACAGAGCATCCCTTGCCCCAGACCGAGAGTTCCTGTCTATACCTTGTGGCTAATAGCCACTGATGGACCTCTGCTCCATATGCTTATCCAATTCCCTCTTGAAGCTGTCCATGTTTGTAGCCGCCACCACCTCCTGTCGCAGTGAATTCCATGTGTTAATCACTCTCTTGGTGAAGTAGTATTTCCTTTTATCCATTCTAACCTGACCACTCAGCAATTTCATTGAGTGCCCGCGAGTTCTTGTATTGTGAGAAAGGGAGAAAAGTCCTTCTTTCTCTACCTGCTCTACCCCAGGCATAATCTTGTAAACCTCGATCATGTCACCCCTCAGCCATCATTTCTCCAAGCTAAAGAGCCCCAAGCGCTTTAACCTTTCTTCATGGAGAAAGTGTTCCAACCCTTTGATCATTCTAGTTGTCCTTTTCCGCACTTTTTCCAATGCTATAATATTCTTTTTTGAGGTGTGGTGACCAGATCTGTCACATCGTCTGTTAAGCAGAGGGAAACCTGTGCTTGCTGCAGTGCACGGTCAATAGGGAGCAGCAGCCCATCATAGTTCCCTGACCACTTTACCTGTACGACATGCACATTGTTTTGCTTTCACGCGGTGGCTTTTAGGTGGTCACTTAGAACGACTCGGGTGTGCATCCTAAAATGCATCCGATGTAAAGTAACCCCAAGAGTGTTTCCACTCTGCCTTTCCCCATGTTCCAGATACACTTACTCATTGCAGGCAAGACCTTCTGGCTAGAAGGTGCCTGTTCAACCCTGGCCTGGGTTTCCTTTTCTCTGCAGCCTGCTCCACTTCCCACCTCCAGCCTTCCCAACTTCTACACAGCAGTTGGGAATTTTGGACGTTGCAGTTTACAAGGAAGGTGTCAACAATGGCACAGAAGTCCCCGGGCTTTGTCCTTTTTCCTGCTTCCTGTGCTTCAGGTTATCTGTCCAAGCACAAGGCAAGAAGAAGAAGAAGAAGAAGAGATTGGATTTATACCCCGCCCTTCACTACGCAAAGGTGTCTCAGAGCAGCTTGCAAACTCCTTTCCCTTTCCCTCCCCACAACAGACACCCTGTGAGGCAGGTGGGGCTGAGAGAGCTCTGACAGAAATGGCTCTTTTTCAAGGACAGCTCTTATCAGAACTATGGCTTGACCAAGGTCATCCAGCTACGTGCAAGTGGAGGAGTGGGGAATCAAACCTGGTTCTCCCAGATTAGAGTCCGGGCACTTCACCGCGAGAACCAGGAAAACATCCATGCAGTCAGGCCCTTTGAACGTCTGCTTAACGTGTCCACTCGTTTGAAGAGAGAAGAGTGCATAGTATTGACCCTGGCAGATGAGGTGGAGGGGGTCAGTCTGTGTTATGGCAGTCTTGTGCAAAGCTTACAGAGCATGGTGATTGCAAGGGGGGGCGGGCGGTATCAGAGCTTCTCTGGTTCTCACATCACGGTTAAAGAGACTGGCAGTGTATGCAGAATGAAAGCACACAGCAGGGGTTCTCACGCCGAGTTGGGCTCTGAAAATGCCTGTTTCCCCCCTTGAAGTTGACAGAAACGTCTTCGCGGTACGCCAGGAAGATTTCGGGCACCACTGCTCTGCAGGAGGCCCTGAAAGAGAAGCAGCAGCATATAGAGCAGCTCCTGGCCGAGCGGGACCTGGAAAGAGCCGAGGTCGCCAAGGCTACCAGTCATGCTGGGGAAGTAGAGCAGCAGCTGGCATTGGCACGGGATGGGCATGATCAGGTAGGTCCCCAACTACTGAAACTGTGATTGCAGAAATCTGTGCTTGCCGGGACTAAGTAAAGATGCCTTGATAAAGGCCAGGAGGTAGTTTTGCCTCCGCTTCCTCACTGGCAAGAGATAAGGGAACGATTGACTTTGTGAAAAGAAGCCTCATACTAAGTCCGCATGGTCAAAGCAATAGTATTCCCAGTAGTCATGTATGACTGCAAGAGTTTGACTATAAGGAAGGCCGAGCGCCGAAGAATAGATTCTTTTGAACTATGGCGCTGGAGAAGACTCTTGAGAGTCCCTTGGACTGCAAGAAGATCAAATCAGTCAATCCTAAAAGAAATCAACCCTGACTGTTCCCTGGAAGGCCAGATAATGAAACTGAAGCTCAAATACTTTGGCCACCCAATGAGAAGGGAGCACTCGCTGGAGAAGACCCTGATGCTGGGAAAGACTGAAGGTCAAAGAAGACGGGGATGGCAAAGGATGAGATGGTTAGACAGTGTCATAGATGCAACGAACATGAAATTGAGCAAACTTCAGAGGATGGCGGAAGACAGGAGGGCCTGGTGTGATCTGGTCCATGGGGTCGCAAAGAGTCGGACTCAACTGTGCGACTGAACAACAACAACTAAGTGGTTCTTTTATTCTTTACCAAAAATTCTCCAGCTGAAAGAGAGCGGCCCTGCATCAGCCCACTTTCATGACATTACATCGCAGCGAGAAGCAGATTCCAGCCTGGTGGCTGGGATTCCTTTTGTAAACAAGGACGAAGCCATTCTGGTGCTCTCTTCAAGCAGCATGCCACATATATAGCTTGTATCAGATGTAACTCTGCTTTAGTAAATGCAGGACTTATCTAATTGTATTGTGCTTCGTCCACCAGCGTATACTAGAAATGGAAGCGAAGATGGACCAGTTGCGGGCCTTGGTTGAAGCTGCTGATAGAGAGAAAGTAGAATTGCTTAACCAGTTGGAGGAAGAGAGGAGGTAAGCTAAGCTGGGGCTGGCGGGGAGTACTGCAGAACGGCGTGTGTTGGTCTTTCAGGGGGGGGAAATGTTTTTTACTCATCAAGAGATGTTGAGCAAATTGCGAGCGTAAGTATTTGAAGAGTAAAAGTAAGAACCAAGGTGGTTAGGTTCAAACCCCCTCTCTGTTGTTATGACCCTGGAAATCTTACTCTGGTTTTTATACTGCTTTACTTGTCATGACCAGTGTTCCCTCTAAGCTGAGTTAGTGTGAGCTAGCTCACAGTTTTTTAGCCTCTGGCTTACACATTTTTGTCTTCGCTCAGGAAGGAGGGCTCAGGAATGTTCCCTCTAAGCTGTGTTAGTCTTGTGAGCAAAAATTCTACTTTGTGAGCTACTGGCATTAAAGTTGTGAGTGAGCGATTTGGCTGCTGCATCAATTACTTTGCTCTGGAGCCATCCCTTCCTGAGCGAAGGCAAAAATCTGTGAGCCAGAGGATAAAAACCTGCGAGCTAGCTCACACTAACTCAGCTTAGAGAGAGCACCGAGAGCAAACTAATATATGCAGCAGCCAAATCGCTCGCTCACACCAGTAGCTCACAAAGTAAAATTTTTGCTCACAAGACTCCACAGCTTAGAGGGAGCACTGCTCACGACCCCCACCCCCCCCCAGTATTGAAATATGTAGCTTGATGTGGGCACCAGTCTCTCTCTCAGTGGAGATCTTGTGCCTTCTTTAAAGCTTTTATTTCCCAGGATTCATTGGGTGGAGGGAATAGCTGTGAAGCCAGTTTATGTCTCTGGTGTACCCTGGGTCTATCTCAGTTCCTTGTAAATGTAAAATGGGAATATTTGGAGAATTTACTTTATAAGCACGTGAAGATGAACCACGTAAAGCTGGGAAATAATTCTGCACATTTAAAAACTGCTCTGTCAGTCTCATAATAATCTTCAGAAAGCTGCACTGGAGAATCCAAAATTAGAGATTTTACATATAGCGCTTGAGCATTTGGCATTGGAATTCCAGTTTGAGGATGACTTTAACTCTGTCCCTAGTTGGCCTTGAGCTCACCTTGAATAGGTTGCTAAGCAACCTAACAGTACAGCCGCACTTGGCTGGGACATGTTAACTGAACTGGCATGATGCAGCACAAGAAATGCTCGTCTAGTATTTCCTCTGCTTCCAAGTGAACTGTGACTTGTTACTAGTAGCCTAGAAGAAGGGGGGGGGGAACCTGTGGAGTCAAACCACTGAGCAATGCAGAGACTTAAAATGGAGCCTCTGTGCCCTTCATCTGGAAAACACAGTTTTTCTACCCTCCCAAGTTTGGTTGCTGAGATGGGTCTAATTGAGCAGTTGTTTATCCTGAAACCCCTTCTCCTTGGAAAACGTCCCAGCTTCTCTGCTACACTTGTGCATAATCCCACAGGATGCACTGAACAGGATCCACAAGTGCAGCCCAAGCTTTCCAGTTGCGGTCTGTGTGTGTGGGGGGGAAACGGGGGACGGAGGGAGACCTCTGGGTGCTTACAGGGCCATGATTCTCTTGTTGGGTTGTTAGCCCACTCTCAGCACACATGTTTGTGGGGAGGGTGGTATAAAAGTCTGGTAGAATGAATGCGTGAACGAACAAATAAATGTTCTCTCCCTCACTTAATTTATGCAGTATACAAGCATGGACGGCTTCAAAAGGGAATTAGATAAGCATCTGGAGCAGAGGTCCATCAGTGGCTATTAGGCACAAGGTATAGATAGGGGCTCTGGGGCAAGGGATGCTCTGTCTTCTTGGTGCTTTGGGGGGGGCAGCAGTGGGAGGGCTTCTAATGTCCTGGCCCCACTGCTGGGCCTCCTGATGGCCCCTGGTATTTTTGGCCACTGTGTGACCCAGAGTGTTGGACTGGATGGGCCTTTGGCCTGATCTAACATTGGCGTCTCTTATGTTCTTATGTAATTTTCACAACAACCCTGTGAGGTAAGTTAGGCTGGGATGAAAGTGACTGGCCCAAGATCACCCTGTGAGCTTCATGGCTGAGTAGAGATTTAAGGACATAGGAGATGGCCCATCCAGTCGAACACTCTGTCACCTGGTTCTCCTAAGTCCTGGCTCTGGCACTGTAAGCACTAAGCCACACTGGTGTGCTCCCAGTAGTCTCGGGTGGGGGGAGAGGTCTAAATCCTCTCTTCCCGATAAGCAGCCTGCTGTCAGGTACTGAGGCCAAAGAGCTCACCAGTACCTTGGCTAGATAAGCTGAGGTCAGTCAGGCAACAGACGTGCCTAAGGCCAGGAGTGTGGAGGTAAGGCAGGTTTCTTCCTCGGTGACAGGCTGAGAATAAAAATGAAAGCCTTTGGATTGAACCGTGGTGTCATGTTGGGTCCAGTGTGCCCTCTAAGCTGTGGAGTCTTGTGAGCAGAAATTCTTCTTTGTGAGCTAGTGGCATTAAAGTTGTGAGCGAGCGATTGGGCTGCTGCATACATTAGTTTGCTCTGGAGCCCTCCTTCCTGAGCAAATACAAAAATGTGTGAGCTGGAGGCTAAAACACTGTGAGCTAGCTCACACTAACTCAGCTTAGAGGGAACACTGCTCATGTCAGGTCCAGTGTCCCCTCTAAGCTGTGGAGTCTTGTGAGCAAATATTCTACTTTGTGCGCTATTGGCATTAAAGTTGTGAGCGAGCGATTTTCACTGCTGCATCAATTAGTTCGCTCTGGAGCCATCCTCCCCGAGTTAAGACAAAAACGTGTGAGCCAGAGGCTAAAACCCGTGAGCTAGCTCACACTAACTCAGCTTGGAGGGAACACTGGTGTCATATTAGCTCCAGTCTCTGGGCCGGGAGGGTTATGGGTTGCACAGGGCTTGCCTGCAGTTTCCTCCTCTGAGCAGCAGCCTCAGTGGGGCAGGGAACGAGGAACCAGATGGTGTGTCCCACAAAACGAGAGAGCCAGTCCAAGGCAGTGTTTAGAGTATCAGACTAGGATCTGAGAGGCTCAGGTTTGAATCCCCGCTCTGCCATGGAAGCTCTCTGGGTGACCTCAGGCCAGTCCCAGACTCTCAGCCAAACCTACCGGACAGGACTGTTGGGAGGATAACACGGAGAAGGGGAGAGTGCTGTAAGCTGTTTTGTGTCTCCCTTGGGAAGAAAAGGTGAAGTATAAATAAAGTAAGTCAATAAAATCTCTGATTCGAACCCTGCGACTTCTGGCATCTGGTGCCTCTCCCAGCTAATCACAGATGCCGCTTTGATGCTGTTTTGCGACTGGTCCAGCTCAGCTCACATGGAATTCACTGCCACAGGAGGTGGCGGCGGCTCCAAGCGTGGACGGCTTCAAGAGGGGATGGGATATACATACGGAGCAGAGGTCCATCAGTGGCTATTAGCCAAAGGCATAGATAGGAACTCTCGGTCTGGGGCAAGGGATGCTCTGTATTCTTGGTGGTTGTGGGGGGGGGTAACAGTGGGGGGGCTCCTACTGTCCTGGCCCCACTGCTGGACCTCCTGATGGCACCTGGTACTTTTGGCCACTGTGTGACAGAATGTTGGACTGGAGGGGCCATTGGCCTGATCCAACACTGGCTTCTTTTATGTTCTTATGTTCTTTATTGTTTTGCTTTTCACTCATAGGAAGGTTGAAGACCTCCAGTTCCGAGTAGAAGAAGAATCCATCACCAAAGGTGACTTAGAGGTAAAAGGCCCCAACTCTCTTGGCTCTCTTGGTAATTGGCTGAAAGACAAGTCATTCTAACAACCAGGGCTTTTTTGGTAGAAAAAGCCCAGCAGGAACTCATTAGCATAATAGGCCACACCCTGACAGCACAGTTTAAACTGCCTTCCCTTGGCTTGCCCTGGTGGGGAGCCCAGGCAAGCTCCCCCTTGAAGGGAAGGGAAGGCAGTGTAAACTGCCTTCCCTTGGCTTGCCCAGGCACCCCACGGCTGCAGGGAGCCCGGGCAAGCCAGCCCTTGGACAAGCCAGGGAAGGCATGGGGAGGCATTTAAATGCCTCCCCGATCCTTCCAGGGGCCCCTTGGCCCGCCTGCCTCGGAGTCACCTGGGGGAGTCACTCTCCAGGCCCCCTCCCCTCTGTAGCCAGGCACGCAGAGGTTTTGGCTATAGTGGGCGTGGCCAACTCTGAAGCCAGCCGGAACTCCGACCCTGTGAGTTCCTGCCCGAACATAGCCCTGCTAACAACTAAATGAATAAAAACACAGGATTTAGACTTCATGGTGATGATTCAACAATGTGTGTACCAAGTGCTGATGCCAAAGTCTCATTATCTGGAATACTTTCCAGTGCTCTGTGACACAAGAGTCACCTTTTCAAACTCTCTGTTCATGTCTTTTTGAAGTAGCTTTAGTTCCCGTGTTTCTAATTCCTTTCTTTTTAGTGTTCTGTATAATGTGTTGCCAAAGCATTTCCAAAGCGTCCATTAAAACTGCCAACTAGAAATCCAATGCCGAAGTTATGAAACTCTGCAGGGTATAGCTGTATCCCTACTGAAATTGATACAGGAGGCTTGTCAGGCTTGTTCTACGGCTGGTCAATTACAGTCAAGCCAATTAGCATAGATAATCATTTATATTAAACGCCGTCCTTTTTCCTCACCAAGTTTCCAAGAATGAATTTTGTTTAAACGTTGGCTTAAGTGTACTTTACGTGTCAAATGCACATGCTGAGCATTTTCTTGGGTTTTTTCCCTAATGCTCATGTTTGCACCAGGCTCAGTAGATGTGTTGATTTGAAGGTTAGGAGGCGAAACCCTGTATGAACACTGCCAGTTTTTGTAGACTGCGTGGGATTAACGTTGGTTACCTTGAAGTTTATTTAACATGTTCTTGTTCACTCTAAAAACAGAAAGCTTAGGTGAATGCTTTATCCCAGTGTTGTGAGCCGTATGTACATTCAAAACTGAATTGCAAAAAAAAATGACCAATAATTTTAGGCTGGCTGGAAGCACTAGCCATTTGCGTTATCTGTTTCATGTTAATGTCATCTTTTAGTTCTGTTTTACTTTACTTTAGTATTCCATCCTTTTTATCTGGACACTACTTCATGGACCATTTGTTTACCTTTTTTCCAGATTGTGTGGTTTTTGTTTTATCAGTATAGAGGGGAAATTAAAAAAAACCACCCAGCTTCAGTTTGATAACAGTGGGAAATCACATGGGTTTCCCAGTATTGCTGCCATCACAAAGGACATAACTGTTTCCCCATATCATCACTCACAGCGTGATCGCGGCTGACCCACGCGCTGTGGTTTAGTGCCCATTTCAAGGAAAATTAGCAATTAGAGTGACCGAAGCCATGTCAGCCATATGTAAGGCCTGTATCGAGGACCTTTCATGCAATTGCTCGTTTTATTTTCAGGTTTTACGAAAAGATCGTCCAAACCCAGTCCCTATTCTCACACAGACAGGCATACTACCTATACACAGTTGCATGAAAACCACTTCGTTGTGGTGCTGGTTTACGCCACTGGAGTGCCTTTATGGACATTGTGAGCACGTGGACTGAAATTGGTGTGAGTCTTCTCCATCCCCAACTGGCTTCCCACCAGTAGGACTAGGGTTACCAAGTACCTACCGCGATTCGGCGGGGGACACACAGTTCTTGGCGGGAACATTCCCGCGGGGAAAACACACACGCTGCACTATACTGTCGCCCAGACGTGATGTAGGCACGTAGCCGGGCGACGCTCTAGCAACGGGGCTGAAAACTCGATGGTACCATCGAGTTTTCAGCCCCATTGCCAGAGGGTCGCTCGGCTACGTGCCCAGCGTGCTGACGTCACATCTGGGCAACAGCATAGTGCGACGCGGGTGTGTTACAGGCAGGAATGTTCCGGCAGGAAAGCGTGTGTCCCCCGCCGATTTGCGGTAGGTACTTGGTAACCCTAAGTAGGACCCATGTGGTCAGCCCATTTCCTTCCCCGTGGTACAGGGTGACACCAAAGGGGAGTTGCTTCCCACACTGTTCTGCATCAGTGCGGGTCCTCCCAATGTCAGGTAGTTCTCATGGGAGCTCCTTGCAAGTTGAGCTGCCATGCTCCCTCTAAGCTGTGGAGGCTTGTGAGCAAAAATTCTACCTTGTGAGTGACTGGCATTAAAGATGTGGGCGAGCGATTTGGCTACTGCATAAATTAGTTTGCTCTGGAGCCCTCCTTCCTGAGCTAAAGCAGAAATGTGTGAGCCGGAGGCTAAAAAAGACTGTGAGCTAGCTCACACTAACTCAGCTTAGCGGGAACACTGGCAGCCACTTCGGAAAGAAAGATAACTGAGAATCCACATGCAGTGCAGTGAAAATTCAGAATGCCCTGGATTTTTTGCCTCCTGCACGGTTGTATTTGAGCCGCAGTGTCGAGCCTTTGGATGAACTCTCTTTGTTTTAATTTTTGCCGGTAGCAAAAGAAGCAGATTTCTGAAGAACCCAAGAATGTAAGAGGACATCGAAATGTGTGGAGACGTCCCCCACCCTTAACACAGATTAGTTACCCAATAAAAACATTTGCTGACAACTTACTTAAACCACTAATGACATAATCGGCTGCTAGGACGTTAACTTCCTGTTTTGTGTGCATGAAAGCTTTGAAAGCATCTGCAGCATTTCAGTCTGAGAGATCTATGTAAGCCAGGAGACCCTGCAAATGTCTGTTAGGTCAAAAAAGGGATTCTGTGTTTTTAATTTTTTGTTGTGCTTTCATACAGCTGTCCAGTTTTTGTTCAGTATCCTTAATTCCAAAGCTTTGCAACTTTTGATGATGTTAATCTTCGGGGTGTGAAATGTTATTTGTTGAAAAGCACCGGAACGAAGTTGCATCCCTTCCCTGCAAAGTCCTGCTTCGTGATCCGAGGGTTCCCCCTAGAGTTCAGTGCCTGACAGTTCAGGAGCCTGAACTGATTCTCTTTTCAACTTCGTTTAAAAGTATTCTGCTAGATTGTTTGACAAGAGAAAGAGGCCAAAATGGAAAGAGACATACAGCAGAAGTTAATCCTCCTTGTTTTTTGTGTCTAATTTTAGAGGGGGTGGCAGAACAATGTTCATTTGTTAGAGAAAACCTTTTTTACAAAGTTGGAAAGACTTTTAACAGCCTATTAAGCAAAAACAAACAAACAAAAAAACTTCTCTGTCACTCCAATATACAAAAGTCAGTGGAATTTCAGAGCAGTCAGTTTTGGTTCAAAAAGATTTATAGGAAAGAACTGGCTACCTCCTTTCTTCCTGCACCCACGCAAAATGGAATCCGGAAGCTTGGCTCCTTCTGTGCACTCTTAAGTGTTGTGTTTGCTAAGCCCTGGCCACGATCTTGGGCTCCTCTGTTCTTCCAAATCAGGCGCATGGTGCACTGGAATGAAATCTGCATGTGACCTGTCTCCTTTTTTGTATCCTGGATTCTCATTCGCCTGTCTCTTTATATGCCGGGCCTCCCTTTTTCCTTAACAAACATTGGCAGCTCTCTGTAGACATAAAGATGTAGACCCTGAGAACCTAAAGTGAATACTGTTGGCAGTGAAGAGGAGACCAGTAGAACAGAGAAGGCAGAGACTCAGTACATGATGACCGTCTAGTGATCTCTTTCATCCCTTTTGCTGACTGATGATCTGCTAACAGCAAAATGGGAGTCTTGATATCAAAACTGGGGGGGGGGGAATAGTTCTTAAACCAGCCACTGGAGCAAACAGAAATGACGTACCACTCTTGCTTGGGTATAAAATCGTTCAAAGCTGTCATTTCCGTTCTAAATATGAACATTCATAACAATCTTGAGATGGCTAGCTAAGAGAAGCATAATACCTCGTGAGCGAAAGGAAACCACTGAGAGATGGAGTCATGTCTTCTCTTCAGTTTCCAGTAGCTGATAGTTTGATTCTTACAAGCCAGGTGATTTCAGGGGCGGCCCCCGTCTTTTGGTGGAGATAGTGTCGTTTATCCTCAAAGATGGCCCGTGGCTGCGTTTGTTTCCCCAGGGCGCTTTGAGAGGATCCCCAAGTCTCTTTCCCCTTCGTTGAGCAATATAGAAAAAGGACCAATCAAGTGCATCCTTAGGGTCCCATTCATCTTGTTCCCCTTCTCTGTGCTGTGCCCCTTCTAAAGAACTCTTTCCTAATTGACTTGCAGCTACACCAGAGTTTCTCATTGTTTAAGGGAATTCTCTTCCAGGAGACACTGGCAATCATTTGTCATGGTGAGAATTCCTTCTTGATGGGCGTTAGCCCATGTTTGGGGTGTACTTTAAACAGACTGGGAGCTAACTCCCATTTTCCATTTGGGAAGTGTCTTGGACAGGTGGATTCTCATAGTGAAATATTCGTCTCTCTTCGCCTCCCCTGAGCACTTGCCACTTGGCTGATGGTCAGGCCATCCTCAGATCAACTCTGCTTCTGAAAAGAGTCTCTTAGATGCTGGCAAGGAAGAGAGGCTTTGTGAAAGTGGCTTCTCTTGCTGCCGCACCTTTGGGGGAAGGCAAAACCCATCCAAGGTGTTTAGGTCGCACCCAGTAATGACTTCTGACAGTGCCCTCCCCTTAGCAAGCGTGCTAGTCCCAAAGCGAATAACCGCTAACATCTTTCGACGTGTCTTAAATGCAAGTCTTTCTTGGCAGGCTCTGGAAGTGTTTCTTGCATTCCAGTCCTAAACACAGCGTGAGGATGTTAGTCCCATTTGACATCAATGAGATTTTAAATTTCAGTACTTGTGCCTAAGAGCCAGCCACAGCAGGGGCCTGGGCCGAAAATGACCTCCCAAGGAATGTCACCTGACCCCTTATTTTCCAGACGAGCAGCAAATGAGGCAAAGAAAAAGGGGGGATTCTGCAACAGGATCCATTCTTCTTGACTGTATGGCAAGATGTCAAAAGCCAGTTTTCCTGATGCTTCATGGGTGGGTTTTGAGGAGCGGGCACGCCTCTCCCTTATCTGCCTGTGTGGCTGTTTGGGAAATCCGATCGCTGGCTATCGGGCTAGACATTGCACGTTCCATAACAGCTGACAATTGAGAAAACTGCGTACAGTCATGATTCAGAGGCATTCTGTGTGAACCTGTGTCCAGTGGGCGTGTGCCTCTTAATGTGACAAACCTTCCAAATCCCGTTACTTGACGTCCTTGCCCAAAGAAATCTCCATCCAGCTACGTGTATAGGCGTGTCCCCCTCCCCACCTTCTTCTCTTCATCTGAGCAATTTCTAGCAGACCACAGGAAGCGTCCTGTGAACCTCCACTAAGATGTCATCGAGAAACCCGGGATAAACGTTTTACTAGAAGAAACTGATGTTTTGGGTGTCTGTTTTTCCCCGTTTCGGTGACATAACAATTTGCCTCCTGATTTAATAACTGAAGCCGGGTAAGCACAGCCAACGAGAGAGGGCAAAGCTGGTAAGCAGGCAGACTGAGTGAGCTTGCCATAAGCTAGAACTAGGGTAGGCATTGTTCCTGCTTCCACAGGCCATGATAAGACCATCAGGAGTCAGGTATCCGCAAATGCTCAGTATTTGCTGCAAGGAGGCCGAAGGACAGAATAGCGTCTTATGAAGCACTAACTGTTCTAATTTGTGCTGATAATTGTCACATACTGATCAATAACTTTTTGCTGCATGTCCACGTTGTCACCTTCTTCTTTTTTTTTGTTCATGCTTCCTTGTCTGTGTCACTCTTCTCTCAGTTTTATCAGTCTGTGTTCCAGTTCCGAGTCCGTCTCTCTCATCCGCAGCATCCCCCCTGTTGTTTTTTTCTCTTTTGTTTGTTTTACGCCATTTGCATCTTTGCTGCTCATCACTGGGAGAAGACACCTGGTGGCCCAGCCTGCATGTAGCTCTTCCTTCCTCTTGTGCTGGCATGTGATGGTGGCACTGTTGTGTTCTCTTCCTTTCCCTTTTTACTAACAGACGCAGACCAAACTGGAGCATGCCCGCATTAAGGAGCTTGAACAGAGCCTGCTCTTTGAAAAGACCAAAGCTGACAAACTCCAGAGGGAGTTAGAAGACACTAGGGTAATGGATTTTGCTGTTTAAATGAACAAGACCTGTATTTTTTGGGATGGGGGAACGGTTCCTGATGGCTGGAGCTGAGTTGCCTGGGGAAAGAGAGAACCCGTGGCCCTGTCTTCTGCTACCATCACACTGTTAAAGGAAAAGTACATTGATATTGGACCCAGTTAAACTGCTCATTCATGTTAGCCTTAAATCAGTTCTGTGTCTACAACAGAGTCCAGGTAAGGTTCTTGGAGTAGGAAAAACGGAGTAGAGGATAATCTAAAACTCACCTGAAGAAACCAGGAGCACCCTAAATCTGCACGACAGCATTCATTGGATAATTGAGGGCTCTTCCTTGTTTGAGTTATTTATTGCTTTTCAACTGACTTTAAAACGATGGCTTGTTGAAGACAGATGTTGATGTCCAAGTTGGTGGTGGTTCTTCTATCGGTCATCCTAAGGGAAGACTTCAGTATTAACTGGGTAGTTCAGTACTTTTATGGCTACTTTGGGGAGTTTTATTGAGAGTCGTTGAGGCTCCTGCAGGGCTGGCATTGCTAAAGCATATTTATCTAGTTCTTGATCAGTGCTCATGCACAGTTTGCCAAGTGCTGCTCCACTGATGCCTCTTGGCCTTGTTCAGTAGCAGCACATGACTGCAGCAACCTAAGTCCTGCCCAGTTTCTAGCAAACCAGTCCACAAACAAACATACATTTTCCTTGATGTCAGTATATATGGAGTCGCTATCAGGTTCATGATGCTTTCTCTAAATCTAGATAAATTCCAGGCATTCCAGAGTATGCAAAAAAAATTTCTCCCCATGCAGTCACCCCAGCAAGCCTCTTCCGTCTTCCTTTTTAGACACAATACGACCTATTTTGCTTTGGCAGAGAACTGTTCAATTTTTGAGTCAGTGTCAGCTGATCTGATGCTCAGGCCCCACTGTATGAAATGTGATTGTTGACACCTCTTGTGAAACGTAGGCGATCTAGTCAGCTTTCTTTTGCATTACACAACACCCTTGATTAAAATCGATCCTTCGCCTTCCAAATGGAGAAATGTCAGTGCCGGAGTATCGGCACATGTTGCTTATTCAGAGTCTCATGTTAAGAGGAAAAGTTCAAAAGGGTAAGGAGACAAAGCATACGTATGGAGGAAGTTTAGACAGTTGCTTCAGTTACAGGGACTCAAAAAAATCTTTCTTTGTTTTACCTAGGGTTTTATGAGGAAGAGAACTAGCGAACTTTCATTCTGGGATTTTTGTAGCAGCATTCTCAGGAACCACATACAGTGTCCTGGCTGTGGTGAAATCACGTTCTGCTTATCTTTCTTGAGGAGGACAAGGGGAAGAGTCGCACTCCTGTGGATTCAGAGAAATTAGCATGAAAGGGAGTGAAGTTCTCAGGTCTTAGTTGCAGTCTCAAAGCCAGGAGCCAAATTCCAATGCAGAATTAGAATGAAGCATCTGCTCGGCTCTCGGGGGGGGGGGGTCATTCCCTCCCCCCACTGGGGTGACCTTCATAAGGACTTTTATTTATTAACATTGAAGGAATGGTCTGCTTATCATCTGGGTTCTCCTCAATAAATGGTTAATAGTTATTCTCTGGAGGGTATTAGGTTCTGCTTTGATTAGAGAGGCGGCCAGTAGCATTTGTCATTTACGGCTTGTTGAAGACAAGTGTTGATGTTGGTGTAGTGATTATGAGCCAGTTTGATGTAGTGGTTAAGAGCGGTGGGCTCTAATCTGGAGAAGCAGGTTTGATTCCCCCACCCCTCTACATGCAGCCAGCTGGGTGACCTTGGGCCAGTCACAATTCTCTCAGAGCTCTCTCAGCCCCACCTACCTCACAGGGTGTCTGTTGTAGAAGAGGAAGGGATAGTAAACCACTCTGAGACTCTGAGGGAAGGGCAACTCTTCTTCTTCTTCTACTTCGTCTTCATTTATTTGAGCTGTTACTGTTCACGAATCAACTCTGGTCTGGATCGTAAATCCATAGAAAATTGCAGAAATGCCTCTACGTTTTATACCTTACTGGTTCATGCAGCTTCTATGCTGGGTCGGAATTAAAAGCTTCTATCAATATAAGGGTTTCACAGATTTCCTCTAAGAGGCTGATGGGACACCTTACATTTTTTTTGGTGTTCACCTGAGAAGGTTCTATGTATTTACCTAAAACCGTAAAGCAAAATGTCAGTTTCTTAAAGGCAAAAGCAGCCCAGGATCATATGAAGGGTCTGCTCTGCTTCCAGGCCCAGTCAACACAATCTGCCTTTTGCTTGGAAAATGTTGAGTCTCTGTATGCTGTAAAACATAAAAGATTATACTCAGAAGATGAAGTCTGTAGAAAGCAGCCATCTTCAGCTATTCCCACTTGTCAACATTCACTTTAAAAAACCAGAATGACGTTTCAGTCCAGCGGTACCTTTAAGACCAATGAAGTTTAATTCTGTGAATAAGTTTTCATGTGCATGCACACTTCCAGAATTAAGCTTTGTGGGTCTTAAAGGTGCCCACTGGACTCAGACTGTTCTGTTGCTTTAGACCAACACGGCTACCCACCTGAATTTTTTAAAAGTGATTCTTAGAGGTGTTCTGCTAAACTGAGACAACACGCTCAAGCTGAAGTCTTAAGCTTATTGCTTAACGACCTCTTTGTCTTCTCACTGGCTTCAGCCAAATAACTTCATTTCAGCTGGAGCTAAAATTTAATTTGGTATACGTGTAAGGACTGTGGCTTCATTTAAAAACAGACCAAGACTTCTTTTTAATTAAATGAAGGTTATTAAGCTGTTCCAAGTGCTTGTTCAATCGCTTTGAGTCTAGCAGTTAGTTCGTTCCATTAGCAGTCTCAGCAAGAGTAGGATTTTAGCCTTAGATTACCAGTGTCACCTTCCAGAGGCCTGCTGTTGAAGAACTTGGAAAAACTTATATTGCTGCATCTGCAGCAGTGTTCGATCTACCCCTCCAAGCGCTCTTAAGCTAAATATGTTATTACAGTGATATCTCCCTCTTCTTTTTTCCCCCCAAAATGCTGTCGATCCTAGGTGGCCACCGTGTCTGAAAAATCTCGCATCATGGAACTGGAAAGAGACCTGGTGCTGAGAGCGCAAGAAGTAATGGAGTTGCGAGCCAGGTTAGAGTCTTGCAAGCCTGTCAGTAATGTGGACACGTCTCTCTCCCTGTTGCAAGAAATCAGCACTCTGCAAGAAAAGATGGCATCGCTGCAAAAGGAACACGAAGATGAGATGAAGACCCTGAAGGAGAAGCTTGGGATCAGCGTAGAATCTTACCAGAAGGAAATCAAAACCTTGCTGGCATCCAATGAGAAAATGGCAAAGGAGAGCGCGTCGCTGAGAGCAAAGCTGGATGCTGCCAACAAGGAGAACTTGGAGGCGATTGAGCAGTGGAAAGCCAAGCTACAGTCTGCGATAGCTTCACACCAGCAGGCGATGGAGGAGCTGAAGACCTCTTTCAGCAAAGGGGTTGGGGCTCAGATGGCGGAATTTGCCGAGCTCAAGACCCAGATTGAGAAGATGAGGGTGGAGCACCAGAGCGAGACATCAAACCTGAAGATGAAGCAAGACGATGAGAGGTCCCGTCACCAGAAGGAGATCGAAGCGCTCAAACTGAAGTTGCTGGAAGTCTCCGAGGAGAAGGAGAGAAGCTTAGAGAGCCTGAAGACCAAACTGGACAGTGCAGAAGATCAACATCTGGTGGAAATGGAAGATGCTCTGAACAAGCTGCAGGAAGCTGAAATAAAGGTAAAAGAGTTGGAGGGCCTCCAGGCCAAGTGCAGTGAACAAGCCCAGGCTATCGAGGAATTCAAAGCAAAGGTGAAAACTGCTGAAGCAGGGCTCTCGGAACTTGATGCCCTTCGGAAGGCCGGTTCAGAAGGTAAACTGGAGCTGGAAAAACGTAGGAAGGAGCTCGAGGCAGCTGAGAAAAAGATTCAGAATTTAGAGAATGAGAGGAATAATGAAAGTAGCCAGGTTTGTACCGACATTCATCCATTAATTTACTTTTTTTCATGTTTTAACTTTAATTTGATATGCTGTTGAGGCACTTTAATTCCTGCAAGAAAAGGCCTTAGGAAATAGTATGTTTGCATCACTGGATGAGATTTTTTACAAGCATACATGTGAAATATGAATCATGTACCCAGATCATCTGGAAGACTATTTAGATCTGTGTGTTGACTTTATAAGAACATCAGAAGAGCCTTGCTGGATCAGACCCAGATGTCCATCTAGTCCAGCATCCTGTCTCTCACGGTGGCCAACCTCTTTCCCCGGAAGATCAACAATAGGGCGTAGACTGAGGACTTCCCTTGATGTTACCTCCTGGCATTGGTACTCAGAGTTATACTGCCTTTGAATGTGGAGGTTCCCTTTAGTCACCGTGGCTAGTAGCCACTGATAGACCTCCGTGAACCTGTCTAATCCCCTTTTAAAGCCGTGCATGCTCCCAGCCACAAGATTCCCAAGGAGCACAGGGTCTGTTGAACTCTCACTATGGCTGCAGTCATATGCACAATTAGACCCGACATAGGTGCAAATGCCGGGTGGATTTAAAGGGTGCGATCAGACAACAACATCTGGAAAGCGCCCCGCAGCCGTCGGCAACCCGTCCTGCTCCGCCGCAGAAACAGAGTTAAAAGACACCGGGGAAAATCCAGTAGTAGATGGGTTGCGACGGGCCAGGGATGGACTTTCCCCTGTCTGATCGCTCCAGTGTGCTCTCATGGCATCGGGATGGTCTGATCAGGCCATCCTGACTCTGTGCCGTTGTTTCCCCCCCCCTTTGCAGTATGCGCATCATCGCAAACTCCATAGGGAGCCCTCGGTGCAGAGGTGCGATCCGTTTCCTCGTTTAAGCGCATGGGGGGGAAACGGCACAAAAAACCCCCAACTCACCCGCAGTTGCGTCTGATCACACACTTTCAGGGCTGCGCCCGCAGCTTCAGAGGGAGGTGTGATCTTGTATCTGCGGGTCAAATTCCGCCAGAGGAAATAGGTTCGCTCCCCCCCCCCATTTTATCTGGTGCGTGTGACCGCACCCTATATTCACTGCTTCAAAGTGTGCAATGACTCACCAACGCTCCTCCCCTGCCACAAATTTCGTTAGTCTTTAAGGTGCCACTGGACTCCTGTTCCTTCCAGTGGCAATTTTTCTAAGTGAACATATGCCAGTAGGGTTGCCAAAAGCCTGGAGGTAAAGAATCCTATTCCTTTCCTAGAAGGCCGAAAATGAAAAACTTTTTGTCCCCACCCCCCAAATTAAGCCACTGCTGTTATGTTTTAAAACTTTGGATCAAGGGTCACTAATTTTCGTGCCCCAAGAGCTGTCTTCAGTTGTGCTTTTTTTTCCTGTTGGTACTCTTGCGTAACTGATGGAGCCCCCAAAAGTGAGACCTTCTTACAGCTGCAAACAAGACAGAATTATTTTGTTCACTTGGGCAAAGAACTGAGGCATGCACGGCCTGATTTCGTGACGTCTGGGAGAGAGTAGCAAATGGGCCAACCCTTTGTTCAGGTGGCAACAGATAGTCACTCCTTTTCTAGAATTTGGTAAGGGCACTTGTGTAAATATCTAATGGCATCCATGAGCAAGTGCTGTGATTTTGTACAGAATGCGCTTTCTGTGCCTCTTTGCCAGATCTTCTCATATGGTGCATGGGTACTAGATTTTTGTATGCCCCTCTTGAAGTTATGTCCTGACACTCGTAATCTTTAAACTCCTTGGAATTAGAGATCTTCCTAAACTGAACCTGATCTAAATCTTTGTCACTCAAAGATTATTCCGTATCTGTGCAGTTGAGCACAATTGCAGTTGTGGATGCCGTAGTGCCTTGCCACTTCGTAAACGAAGTATTTGTGTAACCCAAAGAATGATCAGTGCTAATCCGAACCCCTGAAAGGGAGCTCTGTTGAATTCCATGGGGCCTGCTTTTTAATAAGAGTGAGGATTGCAGACTAAAACGAAAGACTTCCCGGCTTCAGCAATCCTGAATATATTCCTGCGGCACCAATAATGCTATCGGCAAAACTTCAGAGATTTCTTTAACATACCATTTCCTTTCCGTTTATGGATGTTTTGTATATTTTCATCCCATATTTTCACATTTTGTTTTATTTTTTTAATTTGCCAGTTAAAAGACCATGGTTTTGGTTCCTTTTGTAACTTTTATTTTTGCACCACCTCATCATCCTTGTTAGGCCGTTAATCTGATCAAGGAACTGGAAGAGAAAGAGCAAAAGCTCCTTGAGCTTGTGAATAACTTGGGTGCAGTAAATCAACTTAAGGACTCTTTGGAAAAGGAGCTTCTGGAACTGGTAAGTCACAATTGGCAGTGGTCTGCCCACTCCTGAGTGTTTCTTGTTGGGCTTTTAGAAGGGAAATCATTGGCTGTTTCACATGCAGTCAATTCTTGCCTGGGCAATCTTGAGTCCACTAAACTGAACAAACAACAGATTTCTTTTTAAACTGGAATGTTGTCCCCGTTGCAGATGTTGAGCATCGGACTGGGTGCTTTCGCCACTTGATCATTTTTCGGCAGTAACTAATGCCTTTCCTTATGCATTCAGTGACTGTGATCTGAATATTCCCTCCTGTTTTGTTGCAAGGCTTTGGTGTTTTCTGTGCATTTGAAGCATTCCATCCAGAGAATACTTAGAACGGACTGATCGGAACTGCTCAAATAGGCAGCTATCTTTTAAACAGCCATTATGCACTGACATTTTTTTTTTCTAAGTTGCACAGCCTCATTCTGTTGACGACAGTCTTTAAATACCTCCAGCTGCCTTGGGCACAGAGCCCATAGCATTCAGGCATTGTCAGTACGTTGTATATGCGCTCAGATGTAACAGTTTTGGAAACACCAAGATGACTTGCCCTGATGAGTTACATCAGAGGTGTCAAACATGTGGCCCAGGGGCCAGATCAGGTCCCCATAGGGCTTCTATCAGGCCCACAGTGGAACTGGCTGTCTTCTGTTGCTTTTTCCAGTTCTGCTGCTGCTGCATCATCGTAGGTTTGCAGCTTACAGATACACACCTGAACAGCATACTCAAGATTGCAACAGCACAGTCATTTTGATGCAATAGTTCAGAGCAAGAGGTGTCAGTTATCAGACATTGTTAAATGAACAAAATATTGCAGGAGTGCTAATGTTTTAAGCATGTTTTTATTTTAAGTAAAAAAAAACCTTTTGTGTTTGTGTCCTTTATAAAGACTCTGGACTCAAGCATGGCAGAAGTGGGGATACTTTCTGGGGCCCTGAACACCACAGAGGCCTGATCTGAGCTGCAGAGCCATAATGGTGTATCTGTGGCATTACAGAAATAAAATAATTTCCTTTCCTGACTCATGAGAAAGGATTGGAGGAGAGGAGCTCTATATTGAAAATTTGTATGCTACCCAGGGAAACTATGCTAAGATGAGAGAATCTCCGTTGACTTTGAGACCAGCAACTCCTGTCTCAGTCACACGGAAACTTTCATCACTGTTGGGATCAAGTTATTTGAAAACCTTTTCAACAAGGGTAGAGGAGTTGTTGTTTTTCAATGTACCTAGCCAGAAAATTTTCTCTCGTGATTTATGGTCAGTCTTTGTTGGGTTCTTAATTTTCTGATCATTGCTGATGTGTGCATAACGATGAGTCAGAAAAGGAGCAGTCTCTTTTTACCTGGCTTAACCTGGGGTGTTCTTTTAAGCTGCATTGAGTCAAATGGGCCTGAAAACCTATCAGCGCCAAGTTGCATTGTGATAGATACCACCCTAACAGATTATGCCTAATGGTTCAACACACTTGTTTTTCTTCTGTTCTCCTAGAAAGGAAAATTTACTCAGGCTGCAGATGAAGCAGAAAGTGTACAAAAATCTATGCAAGGTAGATGTCCTTAATCACTTTTTATAATGTCAGAGGAAGGTTTCTGTGCAACTTTGTTTGCAGAATTCGTAGGTTTCTGTATACATCTGGTAAGGGAGTGGTGGAGGGGACAGCACTAAAGACCTTTCTTTAAATGCCTTACTACATATAAAGGAACTTCTTTTAAATCCTTTAACAGTTTTGGACCCTCTTACCTACAGGACCACCTTTCCCATTATAACATCCACCACCACCCCTTCAGTCATCCTCTCAGGGCTTCCTGCAGGTGCCCAGCTCCAGGATGGTTCATAAGAACATAAGAGAAGCCAATGTTGGATCAGGCCAATGGCCCATCCAGTCCAACACTCTGTGTCACACAGTGGCCAAAAATACCAGGTGCCACCAGGAGGTCCACCAGTGGGCCCAGGACACTAGAAGCCCTCCCACTGTTGCCCCCCCCCCCAGGCACCAAGAATACAGAGCATCCCTTGCCCCAGACTGAGAGTTCCTATCTATACCTTGTGGCTAATAGCCACTGATGGACCTCTGCTCCAGATGCTTATCCAATTCCCTCTTATAAGAACATAAGAGCAGCCAATGTTGGATCAGGCCAATGGCCTATCCAGTCCAACACTCTGTGTCACACAGTGGCCAAAAATACCAGGTGCCATCAGGAGGTCCATCAGTGGGGCTAGGACACTAGAAACCCTCCCACTGTTGCCCCCCTCCCAAGCACAAGAAGACAGAGCATCACTGCCCCGATATAAGAACATAAGAGAAGCCATGTTGGATCAGGCCAATGGCCCATCCAGTCCAACACTCTGTGTCACACAGTGGCCAAAAATACCAGGTGCCATCAGGAGGTCCATCAGTGGGGCCAGGACACCAGAAGCCCTCCCACTGTTGCCCCCCTCAAGCACCAAGAAGACAGAGCATCACTGCCCCGACATAAGAACATAAGAGAAGCCATGTTGGATCAGGCCAATGGCCCATCCAGTCCAACACTCTGTGTCACACAGTGGCCAAAAATACCAGGTGCCATCAGGAGGTCCATCAGTGGGGCCAGGACACTAGAAGCTCTCCCACTGTTGCCCCCCCCCCCAGCACCAAGAATACAGAGCATCACTTGCCCCAGACGGAGAGTTCCTTCTGTACCTTGTGGCCACTGATGGACCTCTGCTCCATATGCTTATCTAATTCCCTCTTGAAGCCATCCATGCTTGTAGCCACCTCCCCTTCCGTGGCACTGAATTCCATGTGTTCATCACACTTTGGGTGAAGAAGGACTTTGGTACTTCCTTTAGCTGTTATCAGGGAAAGGGCTTTCTCAGTGATGGGCCCTACCTATGCAATGAATGCATGATAACTCAAGTGTGTCACAGTTCAGGCAGAGCCAAGTGTGGGTTCCTGGAGAGCAGTCAAAGTCCAAGTGAGGGAAACCAAGTCAAGACCAAGAGCTCAGAGCTAAGAGAGCCATTGCCAAGGGGTTCTCTGAGAGGTATCATCAAGCAGTCCAAGCAGAAGTCAAGCAGAGCCAAAAACCATAACCAGAAGCCAGTCCAAGGGTCACATGGACAAGGCAGGATCCAAGGCTGTGGTCACAGAGTCAGTGGCAATTGACTTGTTGCTTCCACATCTAACAGCCTAACAGCCTCCCTTGGCTGGTTTTTACAGGCATGTGCCTAAGGGTCCAATTTGCAGCCAGCTGTTTAGGAGTAATTCTGCAACTACTCCAGCAGCTGGTGCCAAGCCAGGAGGCAAGCACTGTGCCGTCTCTCCTGCTCTGCTCGTAGCCTCTGTCTGCAGCACTCAAAGGGTGTGGGTGATGCTGGAGGGCTGGGAACGATCAGCTTAGTTTCACCTGTAGACTCAGTAGGTGGCTCTGCACCAGCAGTTGGCTGTGAATCCTGATCAGCCTGCAGTTCGTCCTCTTGCTTGCTGGCTGGCTGGCATCTGCTGACTCAGAGCTGGCCACACATGGCTTCTCGTCTCCTGAGGAGTCCTCACTGAGCCCTGACTGACCCATGACACCATGCCCTACAGAACTGCTTAGTTTCCGGAGAGCTTGCATGGCCAAATCCTTCAGGTTAGCCTTTGGAGTTTAACCAAATGTTCTGGGCTGGTTTGATAGTAGTATGCTGCTGAATCATGTATCTTAGTATTTTGTATGTATTACCTAATTTCTGTTGGTTTCTAATGTATTTATCATGGTGGTGTTTAAATGTTGTAAATCGCTGCAAGACCCTCTGGGCGAGTGGTGACTAAAATAAATAAATAACACTTTAGAAAAGTGGGAGTGACCTCTAACTTTGCCATTTCATTCCTTTAGGAACTATTGAAAAACTAAACCAAAAAGAACAGCAATTTGCACTCATGTCATCTGAACTTGATCAACTAAGGACTAGCTTGAGAAGTAAGGAAGTGCAAATTATCCTGTGTATCTTTTTTATGTAGCGTTGCAAAAGAATGCGTTACTGTATACGTGAGTTCTTTATGGAAGACTATAATTTGTTACATGTGAGTCCAGCTAAAATGAATTGTAGCTTTTGAAAGTGACTTGTCAGGTCCGGACTCTTTAATATGTGCAATCCCCCACGCACACACTTTTAGTGCCTTTGAATGTGGAGGTCCTCCTCAGTCACCAGGGCTAGTAGCCATTGATAGACTTATCCTGCATGCGGCTGACCCAGAAATTACAGCTGGTGCAAAATGCGGCAGTGCGCCCGCTGACGTCGACGCCTGTGCAGGCTCACATTCAGCAGGTGCTCCGCCAACTGCATTGGTTGCCAGTCGACTTCCGGATTTGCTTCAAGGTGTTGGTAATAACCTTTAAAGCCTTACACAGCCTGGGACCCCATATCTGAGGGACCGCCTCTTCCCATATACGCCCCGAAAAGCATTACACTCTATGGACCAACATCTCCTGGCGGTCCCTGGCCCGAAGGACGTCGGTCTTGCCTCGACCAGGGCCGGGGCTTTCTCTGCCCTGGCCCCTGCCTGGTGGAACAGGCTCCCTATTGAGAACAGGGCCCTGCGGGATCTTCTCCAATTCCGCACGGCCTGTAAGACGGAGCTGTTCCGCCATGCCTTTAGTCGAGGCAGTGGACGTCTCTCTATGGCCTCCCTGGGGTGGTTGTCACCAACCTCCCAACCCAAATAATATGCCAGGGAACCTTCCGCAACCAGCCGACTTGTCAGAATGGTGATTGTGTTTTAACGTTTATTATTGTTTAAATTCTTTAAAATTTTAATAGTATTTATTGTATTGTTTTATGACGTTACCCGCCCTGAGCCCGCTCGCGGGATGGGCGGGCTATGAATACAAACAAACAAACAATAAATCTGTCGAATCCCTTTTTAAAGCTGTTTTATTCCCGTCTATCGCAACATCCTCCGGCAGTGAATTCCACATTTGCACCACTCTCTGTGTTAAAGCAGCATTTCCTTTTGTCTGTCTTGAATCAACTGCCCATCAGCTTCGTTGGACGCCCTCCAGTTCTGATCTCACACCTTCCTTTGCACCATAACTTACCATTCCAAATTTGAATCTCCAGGGTCGTGGTCACACACACACTAAATAATCCACTTTCGGTGCACTTTCCAACTGGATTTTGCCAGGGTTTTCCCCCGCCCTAATTTTTTTATTCAAAGAGAAGTCACATGTACATCTACATAAAATCCAATAAGCATAAACAGTAATACATTCAACCCTATTTCAATGACGTGTAAACAGATACCCTTAAGACGTTTCAATATATCCATATATCAAAATTAACTTTGCCTGACTGAGGCCTTATGCACTTTGTTTTGTTCCCAAGTATCCTACCACTAATATGTGAGTGTCTTATAGTACCATTAAAATATAAGTAAAATCTTGTGGAAAGAGTGCTCAGACCCTAAAATAAGGCTAACTAAAGTAAGATAAAGCAACTCATAAATGAAGCCATTCGGCATAGCCAACATGTGCTAGTAGAACGTCATGTCCTGTGAAGTAGGTTATTAATGCAAACCACTTTCGTTTGAAAGAAGAAGAAAAGAGGAGGAGGAGGAGGAGGAGATTGGATTTATCCCCCCTGCCCTTCACTACCCGAAGGAGTCTCAGAGCGGCTTACAGACTCCTTTCCCTTCCCCTCCCCACAACGGACACCCTGTGAGGTAGGTGGGGCTGAGAGAGCTGTTTTGAGGACTGCTCTTGAGAGAACAGCTGAGAGGAGAAGAAGAAGAAAGCGGATTGAAAGTGGATTATTTAGTGTGTGTGACCGCAGCCCAGGTATAACTACTTTGATTAGAAGGTAAAAAACAGGAACTTCCCCCTCATCACTGTCCTGTTTTTCCATGCCTGTGTTATTGATGCTTTTTCTATTGATGCCGAAGTTAGTGGTACTTGCAGTTTTATTTCCTACAATGAACTGTTTTCTTTCATTCTTGTGAAGCCATGGAGAAGAAATTGAAAGAGAGGGAAGACAAAGAACAGCAGCTGATGGAGGCCAAATCCAAGCTTGAAAACGATATCGCGGAAATAATGAAATCGTCGGGAGATAGTTCTTCGCAGCTGATGAAGATGAATGACGAACTGCGGTCGAAAGAAAAGTAATCCCGCTCCCATGCTGAGCTTTTATTTGTTTTAATTAATTAATTAATTAATTAATTAATACCCTGCCTTTCTCCCTGATGGGGACCCAAAGCGGCTTATGTTATTCTCCTCTCCTCCATTTTATCCTCACAACAACCCTGTGAGGTAGGCCGGGTTGAGAGAGTGTGTGACCAGTCGAAGGTCACCCAGCGAGCTTCCGTGGCACAAGTGGGTATTTGAACCCAGGTCTTCCAGATCTCTAATCTGACACTGGTACCTATTACACCACGCTGGTTATCTCCTTGGCATTTTCAGCTACCTTCACTCTTTTGAGAGTCACAGTTGGGGCTCTTCCTGGTTATTTCTTCTTTTAAACTGATTTTAATGTAGTTTGGGGAAAATAAGCTCCCGTCATTGGATTTGCTTTCGTATACCTTTCAAAAGGTTTTGTACCTGTGTCATGTGTTATAGACTTCACCCGAAGGATTGTAGACTCTGTTAGTCACCGTGTTCCCTCTCAGCTGAGTCAGTGTGAGCGAGCTCACAGTTTCTTAGCCTCTGGCTCACACATTTTTGTCTCGGCTCAGGAAGGAGGGCTCCAGAAGAGCAAACTAATTTATGCAGTGGCCAAATCGCTCGCTCACAACTTTAATGCCAGTCGCTCGCAAAGTAGAATTTTTGCTCACAGGACTCCACAGCTTAGAGGGAGCGTTGGTTGGCAGCGTTGACAGGGGAAAGCAAGAACTTTTTTCACGTGCCTTCTTGGCTAGTGGGCGTGGGGTGCCTCTTAAAGCAAATAGAGACCTCAGCGATGTATTGCACATTTGGCATGCAGGAAGTCCCTGAGTCGATCCCTGGAATCTCTAGTTAAAGGGATGTCTGGCAGTCTGGGTGTCAAAGACCTGTGCCTGATAACCTGGGAGAGTTGCTGCTTGTTGCAGTACCCGAAACTAGACTGGATGGAGCAGTGGTTAAATTTATTTATCTGAAACATTTATTAGCCACCTTTCTTCCTTACGGAATTCAAGGTGGCTTACAAGCATAGGTAAACACACAGAATAACATATATTAAAAACATAAAAAAACAGAATTTTGAAACTACTACTCGGGCCCGCTGTTAAACTCAACCAAATGCAGTCCTAAATAAAACCATCTTCCGACTGCCTCCTAAAGATTGAAAACGAGGGGGGCCAGGCGCGCCTCTCTGGGGAGGCTGTTCCATAATTGTAGGGCTACCACTGAAAAGGCCCTTTCTTGCATGCCCGCTAAACAAGCTTCTTTGATTGGCGGGACAGTCAGGAGGGCCTCTCCCTGTGGTCTTAAGTCCCAGGCAAGAGCAGATGGGAGATGACAGTCCTTCAAATAAGGCAGTCCCTCTTCACGTCTCCCACTGGTAAAGTGGGAGTGTGTGGACCCAGGGAGATGGCGGGATTCCTGTCCATTAGGATATACAGGAAAACTATACCTGTTCGAAAGCAAGAAATTGCAAGTAGATAAATAGGAACTGCTTCGGTGGGAAGGGAACAGCGTTCCATGCACCTTGGCGACTAGTCATGCCGGCCACATGACCACGGAGATGTCCTCGGATAGCGCTGGCTCTCCGGCCTGGAAACGAAGATGAGCATCACACCCTAGAGTCGAATTCGACTGGCTTTCGAGCAAGGGAAACCTTTACCTTTATACCTGTTTAGGTTTTTTTACGTTCCTGCATACTGGTAGAAGCATGATTTCATGTTTTATTCATGTTTAATTTATGATGTACACCACCCTGAATCCTCCGGGGAAGGGCGATTTATATATCATCATCATCATCATCATCATCATCATCATCATCATCATCATAGTTGTTGTTGTTGTTGTTATTGTTATTGTTATTGTTATTATTGATGATTTCACAGCAGACAGCCATGACTTGAAAGAGAGCCAGTTTGGTGTAGTGGCTAGGAGCGTGGATTCTGTTCTGGGAGAACCGGATTTGGTTCCCCACTCCTCCACATGCAGCTGCCGGATGACCTTGGGCAAGCCATAGTTCTGTCAGAGCTGTCCTTGAAAGAGCAGTTCTCAAAAGAGCTCTCTCAGCCCCACCTACCTCACAGGGTGTCAGTTGTGGGTCGGCGACGGGAAAGGGATTGCAAGCTGCTTTGAGACGAGGTATAAATCCAGTCTCCTCCCTCTGCTTCTTCCTCCTCTTCTTCTTCCTCTCGAAATCAAGCTGAAAGGGGAGCAAGTAGGTTGCTGGCTGCTTCCCTTTAGCACGTAGCCTAAAAGAGAAGATGAATTTTACTCAGTGTGTGCCTCCTCAGCCCAATCCTCTACCTTTGCGTCCTTGCAATATCCCCACCCATGCGCCTTTCTCTGCAGGTCTGTGGTAGGGGTCAGTGTTCCCTCTAAGCCAAGTTAGTGTGAGCTAGCTCAAAGTTCTTTAGCCTCCGGCTCACACATTTTTGCTTTAGCTCAGGACGGAGGGCTCCAGAGCAAACTAATTGATGCAGTAGCCAAGTAGCTCGCTCACCACTTTAATGCCAGTAGCTCACAAAGTAGAATTTTTGTTCACAAAACTCCACAGCTTAGAGGGAGCATTGGTAGGGGTCCTTTGCCCATTTACTAGAATCCTTCCAACTGGAGGCGCTTGGATTTTGTGCACGGTGAATGCGTTCATCTGCCATGCTGCTTCTCTTGCCCAAGGAGTGCACCCTCATTGGAATGACCTTGGAGGACTCCTTTCCTCTGAGGTCAGATCACCACCCCCCTGTGGCTTTGCTCGGCAACACGTTAATGTGTAGGTGAGACTGAGCATTCTGCTGAGGCTAAGCCAATGCGTTGCAGGTAGTGCATCGTTTACTTCAGGGCCCTGTAAAGATCTAATATATCTGATCCTCCTACTTCATTGCCCCACCGCCAGCTAACTGCATATGCTTTAGAGAGTAATAAGCCAAAAGACTGGCCTGTGCCCCAACGGGCTTGCCGTCTGAACTTAGAGAATGGGAAAGGCAACAGAGGGAGAGAAGAGAGAAGGAAACGGTTAACGGGGAAGAGGATCCACAAACGCATTCATGCCTCCTCTTAAGTTCCTTTTGATTAGGGCTGGGAAGTCGAGGTGGAAGCATCCCGAAAGGGGTGGGTTTGGAAGAAGACTGCTGGAAGGAATTGCTTTGAAGGGCAGACTTCCAGGGTTACACCCATGCCGTTTTGTGTTGATTTTAGACAGCAAGACGAACTACACCTTCAGCTCACCCAGGCCAATGAAAGAGTTGCTCAGCTGCAGGAGACCATGGAGCAAGCCTCACGTAAAGCTGAAGAGAGGCAGCAAGACACGCACAAAAACCATCAGGCCGAGCTGAAAACGTTACAAGACAAGTTAAGCAGCCTGGTAAGAACAACTGTGGGAAAGCTGGTGGGTTGCATAGGGAGAAAATTGCCCAGAATAGTTTGGATTTTTTTTAATATGACTGTAATTGCACAAATTATGAAGGTGAAGAATAAAGTTAATGAGAAATTGCTTCGGCCACAAAGAGAAGAACAGGAATTAATACCTACTTCTGATTAAAAAGGACTGATGTGGTCGCGGCATGATCAGGATATGATTAACAAAGCAGAGAAATAGAACACCTGTCAAACAGAGGAGCCAAACTCTTAGGGTGCCATTGCAGAGAGAAGCCAAACCTTTACTGAGCAGGATTTACTTTCTGTTTTTTAGGATTTTTGTGTGTGTGCATGCGTTTGCGTGCCTGGAAGTCAAAGGTGACTTCTGGCAAACCCCTATTGGGACTAGGGACATTTTTCAGAGAGGTGGCTTACTATTGCCTGCCTCTGCGTCCCAAGCCCTGGTATTCCTTAGAGGTCTCCCTTCCAATTACTTGCCAGAGTCGGCCCTGCTTAGCTTCTGGGATCTGACAAGATTGGGCTTACCTGGGCTATCCAGGTCAGGGATCATTCAAGCAGGGGTCATTTTGTAGAAAAAGAGGTGCAGTAGCTCATTAGTATAACTCATTAGCATAACTTATTTGAATAGGCCACACCCCCTGACATCGCCGGAAGTGTGTCAGAAGGCAACACCCACCGCTCAGGCTCCACTGGACTGTTTTGGATTGCTAGCTGTTGGGGGGGGGGAACGTGCAGATCTGTCCTTGCAGAGGAGGGAGAGCTTGTACCTGAATAAAACGTGGTCTTAAAGGTCCCACTGGACTGTTTTGGCACGGGGGGGAGCTCTGCAACATACCTGGCTGCTTCTTGCTCTGACTGAGGGCCACTGGGAGCAGGGGGGTGGGGCTTGTTGCATGTGCCCGCCCCCTGGGCTCTTTACTGCCGGAGCTCCGCTCCTGTGCGCTCCTGCAGGAAATGACCCCTGCTTTCAAGTAAATATGCACCAGGGTTTTGCCCAACCAGGAGAGCATTCCCAGATTTTTTTAATGGGCAATGTAAAAAATGGTGTGTGTGAAACCGCTGTTCTAGTTCTGCATGCGGGTGATTGCAGAGCAGAAATGAGTGAGCAATGAAAAGTGTCCTCGTGTGGAAGCAATCACTTGAACACAAGCTCAGACTGGCAGTGGCTCTCCAGGGTCTCGGGCTTGAGGTCTTTCACATCACCTGCTACCTGATCCTTTTAACTGGAGATGCCAGGGATTGACCCTTGGAACCTTCTGCATGCCAAGCAGAGGCTCTACCACTGAACCAATAGCCCCTCACTGAGAGTATTTCAGAGGGTAGTACTCCTACTTCTCATACAGTTTTTCTCTGTCCCGGCCCCAGTCTGGTAGAACATGCTCCCTATTGAGACTAGGGCCCCGCGGGATCTCCTTCAGTTACGCAGGGCCTGCGAGACGGAGCTCTTCCGCCAGGCCTTTGGTTGAGGTAGCGGGCGCCCATTTATGGCCTCCCTGAGGTTGCTGTCACCCGTCTGTCACCTGTCTACTGACCACCGACAACTGGCCTTCAACCCATTGTACCATCGGGCCAGAACTTTACAGCCAACTGACGCTGTTCCAAGCAGTACCCGTTGTTTTAATTGTTATAATGTTTTATCGTGTTTTAATGCTTAATGTTTTAAACTGAAATTGTATTTATTCTAATGATGCTACCCGCCCTGAGCCCGCCCGCGGGGTGGGCAGAATATAAATGCAAATAATAAATAAATAATTCCAGAAACCACATGCATGTTGGGGGGGGGGGGTGTTCGCAACATACAAGTTTTGAGTGTGTTACTTCTTTGTATGACTGAGATATATACAGTGTGAAATTCCATCGAACAAGTGCTATTTTCTCTCTGGATCTGAAGCCCCATCTCTTGGAAACACCAGCCTTGCTTCAGGAACCTGCCCTCTCCCTTTGTGGTCCGTGCCTTTTTATAAACAGTCCTGCTTGTGTTAATTCTGGATTTTCCACAGCGCTACTCTTTCAGTTCTATAATGCAAGAAACATTAGTTTACCTAGTGATAAACTGTGGAATACTGTAGAACAAAGTCTGAGTCCAGTGGCACCTAAGACCAACAAAGTTTAATTCTGAGCAGTGTTCCCTCTAAGCTGAGTTAGTGTGAGCGAGCTCACAGTTTTTTAGCCTCCAGCTCACACATTTTTGTCTTAACTCAGGAAGGAGGGCTCCAGAGCAAACTAATTCATGCAGTAGCCAAATCACTCGCTCACAACTTTGATGGCAGTAGCACACAAAGTAGAGTTTTTGCTCACAAGACTCTGCAGCTTAGAGGGAGCATTGATTCTGAGTATAAGCTTCCAGTGCATGCGCACTTCTTCCAATACTGTGGTTGTCTGTGTAGGATGTGAGCAGGGCTCTTTTCTCTAGCAATGTTCAATCTAGCCTTGGTCTGTTTTCGCAGGAGGAGAAAATCGCAGCCAGCCAAAACCAGTATAAGGACTTGCAGGCAACGCATGAAAAGATGCAGTCTGAGATGCCTGCCAAGCACGACGCAGCCATCAGAGATCTTAAAGAGCATCTTCAAGAAACAGAGCAGAGCTTGGCAAAGGCGAAAGAAACAAGCAGCAATCTGCAAAAGCAGGTGGAGGAGTTGAAAAAGGAAGCCGAGCACGCGAAGGTGCGTGACTATCCAAAACCAGCAGGCAAAGCGGGACAGTTCCTTTCTCTGGCTTGTTTATGGCAAATGCATTTAGCTGATGAAAATGTATGCTTGAGGTCCGTTGGGCTGCTGGTATGGGAAAGGCATAGACATCTGTGACTGATATGTAGGAAACTGGTGTGTCTGGTGCCCTGTCAGAAAGACCTTTGTCTTCTTGAGCCCAAAGAAACAAGCATCCCTTGATAGAGTGTAGGGAGCAACCACTGGCATGAATGAGACTTTGCACAAAAATTTCTGGAATGATGTAGCACTCTACCACTGGCCCCTAAGTCCCATAGAGCTTAACGGTTGTGTAGTCTGTGTCCAAAAAGAATACACACGCATACACGCTAGTTTTTACAAAGGGCATTTACATAAGAACATAAGAGAAGCCAATGTTAGATCAGGCCAATGGCCCATGCAGTCCAACACTCTGTGTCACACAGTGGCCAGAAATACCAGGTGCCAGCAAGGGGGCCAGGACACGAAGAAGCCCTCCCACTGTTGCCCCACCCCCCCAAGCACCAAGAAGACAGAGCATCCCTTGCCCCAGACCTAGAGTTCCTATTTATACCTTGTGGCTAATAGCCACTGATGGACCTCTGCTCCAGATCTTTATCTAATTCCCTCTTGAAGCCGTCCATGGTTGTATCCGCCACCACCTCCTGTGGCAGTGAATTCCATGTGTTCATCACTCTTTGGGTGAAGAAGTACTTCCTTTTATCTGTGTTATCAGTGTTTCACCTGACTGCTTCCTGGTTTGGGATGAAAAGATACAAGAAGCAGGGTAGGCAGTTCATGAAGCAGGGGAGTTTCACGGCAACAAGGAAGTTCAGGCGGAGAAAGAAGCTGTCATAAGGCCGGATCCTGTGACTTCCTTCCACTAAGTCCTCCTCCAGTGGAGAAACACTTTCTCAGGGGAAGGGAGCTGAAACACTTTCTCAGGGGAAGGGAGCAGAAGGGTCCAGTTTAGAGGAAAGAACTAATAGATCCCAACCCACTGTGATGTTCAGTGCTGACTTTCAGGAAGTAAAGAGAAGAAGCACTTTTCAGAAGCAGGTAGGGGAGCGATTAGTCCTCCCTCCCGGTCTTGGGGTTCCTTCACAGCTTTACACTTTCCCATTCTGCCAATCTAGAGCTATCTGGCTTTTAAAACCTTATTTTTTGTTCAGTCGTTTAAAAACTCCCCCTTCTTCCATTTTAAGCGGCAAAGCAAGCTCAGAGGTGGTGGGCGTTATTGCTTCATCTCCTGCATCCTTGTTCTGCATTGCCCCTTAGCTCAGCTTGAATAGCTTCCATTTATTTGTTTATGGCATTTCCTTCACGTTGTTCCTCCCATTTTCTCCCATCCATTGCGTAAGTGGTTTGGGCTTTGCATTTTTGTTAACTCTGCAGCTAAATATTTGATGTTTACATTGACACACAGGCCAAAAGTGCTGTGGGCTTGGTAACCCAAATTCACAACGATTCTGATTATTTGCTGTTATAACAAGAAAAAGATACAAGGCTCTTGATAAACAGCTCGATAAAGATTATCAGCATAGACCGAAGGATGGATTTACCAACAGATACCGTTTTGGGTTACGGGTATAATGCAGTTTGATTACTGTACCATCATGCCTACTTGGATGGAAAGGTATACAAGCGCATCTGGTTTTGCAGTTGTTGCAGATGCCTGGGATGGGATCCCACAGCTCCATCTCACATTAAGCAGTGGTACTCACTTGAGAAAATTCTGTCTGTGTGACCATAACACTGTTTAACTTTCCAGTTCCAGTGATGCCTTGTGCATTCATTTTGCCCTCTGGGGTGTGAATTTCTGGGCATCAGAAATCAGAAATTTTATTTGTATTTGGCCATAGGCCACTACAAACCAAGGATAACAACAGAGGGGAATACTATAAATATGAATAATGGTAGAGTAAAATTTAAGATAGTTATAAGCAATTAATTAAATCAAAAGGTGTCAACTAGGATCAATATTAATCAGTTCCCATAAGAACAGCGTTGGCCCGTATTTTCTTTGCAGCCAAGGCATATAAAGCCATTCTATAAGATATATTGGCATTGAAATCAGCTAACAAGAACACAATCTTCTGGGGTGTGAATTTCTGGGCATCAAAACTCATAAAGCTTATGTGCTTAATTACTCTTAAAGGTTACAGCATTTGTTTAGCACAAAAAGGAAGCTAGAAACTCTTCGACATGGCTTTGTGTGTCAGTATATACATGTTTTTTTATTTAAAGAAAAAATTAGTTGTGCTGTTATCTTTAATCCACATTTCACGCTAGCCTGCTTGACTTCATTTTTTTTTTGCTTTTGTTTCCCTTCTCCCCAACCTTTGTTCCCATAGTCCCTAACCTCTATGTTAGCAGCAGCCAGAAAAGAGATTGAACTCATGTCAGACAAGATGAGGGCTTTGATATCAGAGAAGGAGTTCCTGGCGCAGGAAGGGAATGCTTTAAAGTTAGAAAAAGGTTCCTTGTTATCAAAACTTGTAGAGTTGGAGGCCAAAGTCGGGTTATTGAAAGAAGATCAGGAAAAGCTCTGGACGGTGAACGAAGAGCTTAACCTAGACAACAAAAAAATCTTGAAGGAGAAACAAGAAGCCGAGAACAGAACTCGGCGAGAAAAGGCAAAGAACGACGAGCTGCTTTCTGAGAAAGGGAAGTTGCTCTTGGAAGTGGAGGCCGCCCAAGATGATCTCCTTAAGATAACCAGGGAGAATGATGCTCTTCGCACCTCGAAGGCAACCCTTCTTCAGCAGGTGGGTGAGCTCCAGACCCAAAATAATGCCCTGGCTCAGGAATGTCAGCAGAACATCAGCCAGCGGGAAGAACTGGAAGACTGTCAGAGGAAGCTCCTGGAGGAAAACGCTGCCCTTCTCAAAGACAAAGATGACGTCATCCAGAAGCTGAAGAACTCTTACGAAGACATGGCCAGAGACCAAAAGGAGCTCCTCCGGGAGACCGCCAGCTTGGCGGCTGAGAGGGACTCGCTGCTAGAAAAACAATCAGGTCTCGAAAGCGAAGTTGAGGCTCTGAAAAAGGAGGCATACCGCTGGAGGCAGACGAGCCAGGATCTCCAACTGGACAAGGAGGCCCTCTTGAAAAGTCAGGAAGAGCTGCGCCAAAGCTTGGAGCAGGCTGTGGACGAAAGACAGAAGCTCGGTGCGAAAGCGGAAGACCTGCAGGCTGATCTAGAAGGGGCAAATAAAGAGCTTAAAAAGGTCACCAAAGACAATGCACAGTTGCAGGCCTCCCATTCCAGTCTTTCAAAGCTGCTAGAAGAGATTAAGGCCAGCAGGGAAACGACGGACTCAGAGTGTATTCAGTTAATGCAAGAGAAGGACGCCTTGGCTTTGGCCGAAAGGAGGCTTCTGGGTGAAAGAGAAGAACTTCTGAATGAGAACAAGGCGATTTCGGAAAAGCTGGCAAAACTCTCAGAAGATTCAGCCCTTGTGGAGAAAGCATTAAATGAGATGCTAAGCCAGGTGAGCACGGAGAAAGAACTAGCTCATCAGAAACACACAAAGGTTAAGAAGCAGAACGAGAGCCTGGCCAAGGAGAAGGCCGCCCTGGAGGCAAAATGCGCAGAGCTCCTAGCAGAGAAGCAGTCCACAGCCAAAGCCCTGTGTGACTTGAGGAGAAAGCACGAGCTGGACATCTCTGCCAAGCGAGTGCTGACCCAAGAGAAAGCCAAGCTCCAGGGCAGTGTTGAAATTCTGAAGCGGGAGCTGGACCAGAAGATGGAAGAAAACCAAGAGCTGGTCAGCTTCAAGTGTGAGCTGTCCGCCATCTTGAAAGAGACTCAGAGTGCCAAAACTGTGCTAGAAAACGAGTATTCTGCCCTGCTCCATGCCAAGCAGATGCTGGCGGCTTCGTTTAAGAGCAGCTCTTCGGAGAAGGAGCTCCTGAGCCAAGAGAACATTCAGGTGCAAGAACAGTGCCAGAGGTTAAGCAGAGAACTCAAGAGAGCTCAGGACAGCCTAGCCACTGAACAAGAAGGCAGGAAGCTAGAGAAGGAGTCTTTCGTGGTGGAGAGCACGCAGCTTCAGAACAGCCTCGGCTTCTTAGAGAGGGAGAAGGAGCTGCTGACGTCTAAGAACAGGGAGTTGTTGGCGGAGAGGGAACAACTGAAACAACAGAAGTTAAAATCTGAATCCAGACTAGAGGGAATCGTGAAAGAAAAGGAGGCCCTTAGTGTTGAAACGGATCGACTAGCGTCCGATATCGAAAGACTCAAGAGCGAGTTTGCGGCGCTGACAGAATCAAAGGCGGGACTCCAGGAACTGCACCGTGGTGTGTCCAAGATCCTAGAAGATCTCCGTTCCAGCCACGAAGCCTCGGAACTGGAGTGCGCCCGGCTTCTCCAAGAGAATGAGATTCTGCTTTCGGAGCAGAAGAGCCTGCTCTCGATAAAGGAAGAGATCTTGAGAGAGAAGGAGAAGTTTTCGGAAGACTATCATAAACTGCACGAGGAAGTAACGTTCTTAGCGCAGACCAACTGTGAGATGTCGGCCAGCCTCTTGCAGTCTCAGAAGAAAAACCTGGAACTGCAGAAGCAAAAAGAGGAGCTTTTCCTGAAACTGAAAGAAACCGAGAGTCTCCAGGCACAGGCAGTAACACAGGGATTTGAGGTATCAAACACTGGTAAAACCAGTCCGGTCCAGTTACTAACACCAAACACTAACGTCAAATCATTTTACTGTCTACGCTTAATTTTGTGCAATCTGGCACCTTACCTCTGTCTGAACTCCCTCTTAATTATGTGTTTCTCAGCATATTTAATTAAAGAGATCTTTCCCCCCAAACACAGTTAAGCACATCCACTTTTTAGGGCCTTGCAGTTGCTGAATGTTGCAAGAGAATTTTGTGAATAAAAAGGCACGTTCCTAGATCCATAGGAGCAAGCATGTAGGCAGAAAAATGTCAATGTGGTCTTCGGTGTAGTCTTAATTGAAAATTCTAAAATGTACATTTCATTGCAATTCAAACATTGGCTGTTCAACCTCTTAAGCTTATAATTAGGCAAAAGGCAGCAGTTTCCAAGAAGAACGACGAGTAAAAGTTAATGTAGCAGAGGATTTGGCAATCTCTGTTTTATCTTTTTATTCACAATGGGAGTTTGCCTTCACCACCAACAGAGGACAGAATGGAGCCGTTCCATCATGGGCTTTGTAAACCGTGCAACTTTTTTAGTGGCGCTGCTTCTTCTTCTTATGGCTTTATGTTACCTTGATGCAGCCTTTATTTTTGTTGCCCCCTTTCCAAAAAAACCCTGTACAGTACTGAAAGATTCCCATTTGTTTTAACTTCAGCATCATCAGCCAGATTCCAGTGCTGGCCTGTGACCCTTCCTGGTACCTCAGCACTGTGAAACTTGAGCACAAAAGTCTGTTGGTAGTGAAAGACTCTTGAAATTGTTGCTACTAATAAAAGACGGCAAAGAGTAATCCCAAGAATGACGTTAATTAAAGACATCGTGGTTTTTTTTTAAAAAAAAAACGGCACTAGCAGAGGATTTTAATTTATTTTCTGCTTGGAATAAAATGGTGGGGAGATTTAATTGCGCTTTGCGAAGCTTCAGAACGCAGACAAGTAGCCAATATCTGTTGTTGAAACTGAGCACTGCCCCCCCCCCAAAAGCAGGGCAAGCAGCTTGCAAGTAACAGATTCCTGCATAGAAATACCCATCCTGCCATCCAGATCTGCTAACGTCCAGAATGCAGCAGCGAGGATACTTACAGGTACCCCAATAGGAGCACAGGTACAACCAGTGCTTCGCCAGCTGCACTGGCTCCAAGTTGGGTACCGGATCCACTTCAGGGTTTTGGTTTTAACCTGTAAGGCCCTTAATGGTCTGGGACCAGCGTACCTACAGGACCGCCTCTCCCGGTATGTTCCACGGAGAGCATTACGCTCAGGAGATCAAAACCTACTAGTGGTCCCTGGCCCCAAAGATATCCGGCCGTCCCCAACCAGAGCCAGGGCTTTTTCGGCCCTGGCTCCTGCCTGGTGGAACCCTCTACCTGGTGACATCCACCCCCTGTGGGACCTAACCCAATTCCGCAAGGCATGTAAGATGGAGATGTTCCACCAGGCCTACGGTTGAGGACAGCAAAAGCCTTTTGCCATATCTGCAAAACACAAAGCCAAAATAGGACCCACAGTAAGTAGGAAATACCAAAAATCAGCAAATACCGTGCTACAGATGATTACAAAGTAACTCAAGTAATTTTTATATATTTTTTTGTTTTTATGTTATTTTTTCTATATTTCTTTTCACTTTTGAGGAAGCCTTGAGCTCACTAAGAGAGACTTTTTGCAGCGTTCATTGGTGAAATTTGAATAAATATTTTGGTATTTGGCAACCTTGTGCTTGGAAATATCTGTTGAACTCCCCGAGGAAGACACAGAAACAGGAGGATATCTGGACCTCTGTTGGAGGAAGAATGAGCACCAGTTCAAAATAGACTTAAAGGAGTCCTCCCTCTTAAAACTTTTGTAGAATGAAGGAGGACTGGTGCTAATAAAGGGGTTGTGCAATATCTTCTGTGATATATAAAAAGACGATACTTAGATGTTAGGATATATGATTCTTTCTGTGTGTTAATGTTTATATGATAATATAATGGTGAATAATTTATAAGAAATATAAAAATAATAATATAAAAATGAAAAAAATATATAAAAATTACTTGAGTTACTTTGTAATTATCTGTAGCTTTGTATTTGCTGATTTTTGGTTATATCATATCGGGCCTGTGACTCGCCCTACGGAGGGAAAGGAAGAACAGGATACCATCGATGATCTGGTATACATTATCTCATTGATTTTATTGTAATTAACTGTTATTTATGTCCTTTAATTATTGTATGTTTACTCAATGTTGTACACTGCCCTGGGCCCTTGGGGGAAGGCGGTTTATAATTTAAATAAATAGTATCTTAAAACGGAATCCCATTGTGCCGAATGACTATGGAATACAAGGTTCATAGATCTTATCAGCCAGTGTCCAGCACAGTTCTGCGCTTGGCTTCAAGTGACCCTTTTGTCTTCTAGACTGCAAAAACAGCTGAAGATACTTTGCAGATAGTTGAACAGATGACCAAAGAGAGGGATGAACTTCAGAGGCACAAGACTGAGGCACTGGCTTCACTGGAGGATTCCAAACAAGCCAAGCAGAAGCTGCAAAAGGAGGTAACCCAACTTTAAATGCCAGTTGTATACAGTGTTCCCTCTAGGCTGAGTTAGTGTGAGCCTCCAGCTCACAGTTTTTTAGCCTCCAGCTCACACATTTTTGTCTTAGCTCAGGAAGGAGAGCTCCAGAGCAGACTAATTTGTGCAGTGGCCAAATCGCTCGCTCTCAACCTTAATGCCGGTAGCTCGCAAAGTAGAATTTTTGCTCACAAGACCCCCCACAGTTTAGAGGGAGCATTAGTAGAAAAAGTAAGCTTCAAGTAAAACTAATCAGTTGTCAAATCTATATTGCAGATAGCTTTCTAGAAAGCGTATCAGTGCAATAATTTTGAATGGGCTGGGGATGCATATGGGGGTGCATGTTAAGAGTCTGAATTTTAAGTGACACATTGTGGACAAGCGGACATCTCTCCTTTCCCCTGTTCTGTCTCCTCCCTGGCCCTTTGTCTGGTAGTGGCTGTGAATAATTTTCAGTCCTCAAAAGAGGACTAAAATTGCTATATACTGCTGGGTCCCAGCTAGGGTTGCCAAGTCCGGTGTCGCGCCGCAGCGGGGGACTCCTGGCTGGCGGCTGGAGCGTGCGCGCGCGCCGCACACACATCACCTGGAAGTGACATGACGACGCCGGGCACGCTGGGGTGGGGCCACGACCATCCAAGGGAAAACCATAGAGTTTTCCCTCGGATGACGCACTTCCGGGTGACGCGCACGTCAGGGTGGGGCTCCCCCCGGGGCCCGATCCGCCGGCGGCGGGGAACGGGCCTCTGGGGTGGGGTTTTCCCCGCCCCCCGGAGGGACTTGGCAAGCCTAGTCCCAGCACCATCTGCTGTCAAGCAGCAACAGTCACACTCTGAGGAGGACTCAGACTGGGGTCTTTCCAGTCGTGCTTCCAGACGTCATCCTAACTTGAAGATGCTGTGGGTTGCATCTGAGACTTTCTGCATACAGAGTACCTGCTGTGGTCCCTCGTAAAACTTGGCAGAGGAGGCTTAAATGAGACAGGGGTCTGTGAAAGAATAATCCACCAGTGTTGCTGGAGATCATGTGGAATTAAGGGACCCGGTGTCCGTTCGTGTCTCTGACTTAGAACGCGGGAAATTAAATTTTATAATCCCATGTCCCTGTAACTCTGCCAGCGTGGCTGCTGCAGATTATCTGTTACATAACAAAATGCATCCCTCCATGAACGGATGAGGCTTACAACCTGATGCTTATAAGATAGACGAAAACGTAGTAAATAAAGGCATCGCAGTCATTTGGGGCTGGAGACGGCAGACCTGTTGGAACGATGTTGTTCCTGGTCTTAAACTCAGTTCTCGGCGCTCTGCTTCCCACAGATCCAGGTACAGTAGTGCAAAACATTCGTCTGTGGCAGCTCCTTCTGTCTCTTTTTGCTGTCTCATCTGTCTCTTTTGGGGGTGGTTTGGAGAGTCTGTAGCTTCTTGTCTGGCATATTTTGTGGTTACCTAACTGATTTTGGTGGCTTTTGTAGCGGCTTGTTTCACCAAGTCGGTGAATTTAATGTCTGGAAGTCACAAAAGAGGGGAATCCCACCCAAACTGATTTGAAGGAAACCGCAAGGGGTGTGGAAGCAGTGATTCCATGGAACAAAAATGCACTGTATAAATAATGCAGACCAAAAAAACCACCCAAATAATATACAAAAATGGTGAAAGAGGCTTGAGGCTTGCCGACAATACAAGAACAAGTTCTGTTGCCGATCGGTTGCCCAGTTTTGACAGTTTTGATATAAGGATTGGATATGTTGCCTATATATACTGTTTTGAAGGCTTCTGTATACTATGAGCGCTTTATGAAGTATAAAGTTATTGAAGAAGAGCTATCGAAATGAAGATTGAAATCCGAAGTCTTCGTCCCTGTGTCTTTTGTGCCAGTCTCTTCTGCACACCCTGTATTACTTTATGTATTCTTGATATTATTGATACATGTAGTTTCTTGTTATTTCTCGCTAGTATTGTGTCACTTTGTTATATAAACGTCTTTCACTATTTTTGTATATTATTTGGGTGTTCTTTTTGTCTGCCTTATTTATACCAGTGCATTTTTGTGTCATGATTATACTATACTGTGCTACCACCATCGTCTCCGTAGCAATCATTCCAACCTAGTAATCTTTCCTATGGTTTTATAATATAGAGAGCCCTTCTTCGGGGGCATCTATTTCCCTATCAAATGTACCTGGGTTGAAAATGGATTTCAAATGGGCCCCCTTCCTTTGGTCGCAAATGATCTCATGTGCATCGGGACTTCGGCTGTTCCATTAGTGGAACGCATTTTCCTGTGACCCTGCTGGTCCCGTTACCTCTTTTGCACAATATTTCAAGATGGGTAGCCATGTTAGTCTGTCTGTAGCAGGAGAAAAGAGCAAGGGGTGGCCAGACAGCAGTTTGGGAGCCGCACGCAGCTCTTTCACACAGCCTAATTTAATGTTAATAAAAAGCAAATTTGCATATTTCCCAATAAAAACGTGTGTGTGATATTTGTTCATATCTTGTGGCTCCCAAACATCTGATGTTTATTCTCTGTGGCTGTTACATTTGGCAAGTTTGGCCACCCCTGGTCTAGTAGCACCTTAAAGACTAACAAACTTTGTAGCGGGGTATGATCTTTCGTGAGTCACTGCTCACTTCTTCAGATATGCCAGTCATCCTGGCTTCTTCTTCTTCTTCTCTCTCTCTCTCTCTTGTGTTTAGATGGTCCTTCCACTTAACGTTGACTTGTTCTGCTTAGTATTTGTGATCAGATGAGTGTTCCTCTTGTTGCAAAGATTTAGTTACAGCTTGTCATGACATATGAATGTGGGTTCTGGCTAACTAATCAGATATAAGTTGTATGATTTTAAATTGACTGACAGTTTTAATGGAATTTTAATGTATTTTTATATATGTTAGCCACCCTGAGCCTGTCGAATGACGGGGAGGGCGGGATATAAATGTAAATATAAATAAATAAATAAATGGAAGTCTTCCACTCACGGGAAGTCTTAAACTAAGGGTATTCCTCTCCCTTCTTCTCTCACAAGTTGGATACCCTTAAACAGAACAGCCTGAAGAACGAAGAGGAGCTGAACAAGTCAAAGGGGCGCCTGGATACAGAAGGGAAGAAAATGGAAGAGATGAGAAGAGAACTGTAAGTGTTTTCCTCCGTTGCTGTGCAGAAAAATAGTCTGTTCAGATGAGACTTGACTCAAATAAGGTACATTCCTAGGGGACCGAAGCAAGTTGAGAGAGATGTTTTTGTTTTCCTCTCTTCTAGAAGAAAAACCACCAGTCCCGCGTTTTGAAGCTGTAAAGGGGATATAGTTATGGAGGAATTTTCATATGAGGCTGTTGGTTAGTTTAAATTGCAGCATGTTTTTCAAATTTGAAGCCGTATGTGGTTCTACCACCGGGTGGCCCCAGTCCTTTTCTCTTTAAATAGAAGGTCACGTGCTTTCCCCATTTTCAACCTGTCTTTCCTTTTTTCATTGCACTGCCTGTTACTAATCCTGATAATAGCATTACTGCTAATGCCCCACAGAAGTAACCACTGTGGTTGAATTTGCATAGATGCCAAAGTATGTGGAATGCTTAATGCTAATTTATGAAAAGATGTAGTTTGTGAGAAGAATTTCCAATGCTGTAGTGATTTGCTGGTGTTGTTTTTAAATTTTGCATTAGCAGAAACAAATGTGTTGCTTTTACACTAGTAGTGCTAGGCGAGATGTAGGCAAAACCAGGTCTCTGTTGTCTCTGTAGGCAAAAAAGTCTTGGGTCTGTCACGTAGCACTGTATGGATTCCAAAGATAGCTCACTTGTGCTATGCCATATTTTCTTTTTCTAAATGCCAAGCCTAGAATGCATTTTCATGAGAAACCCATTCTGAAGTTGTGGGCAGGGGGTAGGATTTCATTCCTTAAGCATTTTCCTTTCAATCTCAAGGGAATGTTATTAATGCTACACCAGCTTCGAGTTCTCAAGGAAGCAGAAATGGCAGCCGCTTCTGAATTTCACAACAAATGTGATGGTGCTGTGAGCAGTCAAGTTGAATTAACAGTGGGCATTTTGTAGAAAGGACTAGATGAGTTTTGTGTGCTAGAAACTAAAGAAGGGAGGCTGCCTGTCTACTTTCTTACTCCATTAGACCCACCGCTGTGTGGCGTTCAACTGGCAGAGATCATAGAATCATAGAGTTGGAAGGGATCTCCAGGGTCATCTAGTCCAACCCCTTGCACAATGCAGGAAATTCAACAATACCTCAGAAAGCCATGAAGATGAAAACGGGGTTGCACTTCCTTGTAAGTGTTGTTCATCAAGTGGCCTTCTGTGCAGGCACACATCCCTCCCTCCTGCTCCACTGTGAACTCTCCGGAACCTTAGTTTCTTGGGGGTCACCGGCAGCGGCATGGAGAGAACTGAGGGAGTAGCGCCCCTCCTCCTAGTCATGTGAGCGTTTTGGCGGGAGGAGGGGCGCTCCTAGTCCACTAGAAAGCTTTGGAAATCTTTTCCGCGGCTGGCCTGCACACACACAGCACCCCCCCCCCCTTATGTGCCTGCAGAGAAGACCACTCGATGAACAACGGTTACAGGTAAGTGCAACCCCGTTTTCCTCTCAGACTTCCTGTGCTAGTTTTAAGCTGTAATTGGGGCACCCTCAGCTCTCAGGTGTATGTGTGTGGGTGTTGTGAGAGCAGCCGTCTCTACAGGCATACGGCTGTCATATGAGTGGGTGGGGGAGACTGAGCAGCCGTAGACGCCTTTTTGAACAACAGACTGATCATACGGCTCTGATCATGAGCGGCTCTCCTTTTGCACCAAGGAACCATCCCTGAGCAGGGTGGGAGGGGGGCTCTTGGTAGTGGGTGATTCGATCCTTAGGCAGGTAGACAGCTGGGTGGCGAACCCGCGTACTGACCGTATGGTGACTTGCCTGCCTGGTGCGAAGGTAGCGGACATTACGCGTGTTTTAGATAGGCTGGTAGATAGTGCTGGGGAGGAGCCAGTGGTCGTGGTGCATGTCGGCACCAACGATGTGGGGAAATGCAGTCGTGAGGTCCTGGAGGAGAAATTTAGGATGCTGGGCAGGAAACTTAGGTCCAGGACCTCCAAGGTAGCCTTCTCAGAAGTGCTACCTGTTCCACGCGCAGGGCCGGAGAGACAGGCAGAGATCAGGAGTCTCAATGCGTGGATGAGACGATGGTGTAGGGGGGAAGGGTTCAGGTTTGTTAGGCACTGGGATACTTTTTGGAACAAGAGGGAGCTGTACAGGCGAGACGGTCTCCACTTGTCCCGAGAAGGAACCAGGCTGCTGGTGCTTAAAATCAAAAAGGTGGCAGAGCAGCTTTTAAACTGAATATTGGGGGAAAGCCGACAGGAGATGAAAAGTCTCTGGTTCGGGTTAGCTCATCTGAGAGAGGTGAGGGGGTACCGGTTGCTTTTCTACAGGGAGGTGGATTGAAATTGTCCACAGAGGCCATGGCTGGTGACATGGACTGCCGGACAACGACTCGAGATAGCAAGAGGAAGGATGCAGGCTTAACTTGTAAGGGAAATTACAGCTGTTTCTATACAAATGCTAGAAGTGTCCGAGGTAAAATCGGGGAGTTGGAGTGCTTGGTGTCGGAGGGAAAAATAGACATTGTGGGTATTTCTGAAACTTGGTGGGATGAGGAAAATCAGTGGGACACAGTGATTCCCGGTTATATATTATATCGGAAGGATAGGGGGGGAAGGGTTGGAGGTGGGGTAGCTCTGTATGTCAGAGAGGGTATAAAGTCTAGAAAGATTGAGAGGCTAAGTGAATTGGATTCGCTTCTGGAAGTTCTATGGGTTGAAATAGGGGGGCCAAAAGGAAACTTAACACTGGGAGTTTGTTATCGCCCACCAGATCAAAAGATAGAGGAGGATTATAAAATGATGAATGCCTTAAAGATAGCAACTAGACAAAAACACTGTGTAATAATAGGTGATTTTAACTACCCACACATTGATTGGGTCAATATGTGTTCTAGCCGGGAAAAAGAGATTGAGTTTCTAGACACTCTAAATGACTGTGCTATGGAGCAGATGGTCACGGAACCTACCAGGGGAGAGGCGATCCTTGATTTGGTCCTAAGTAACACTCAAGACCTGGTGAGAGATGTAAAAGTGATTGCACCGCTTGGAAACAGTGATCATAATGTTGTTGAGTTCATCATTTGTACAAATAGAGAATTGGCCAAAAAGACTCACACAACCATTTTTAACTTTAAAAGGGGTAATTTCTCTGATATGAGGGGACACGTGGGGAGGAAACTGAAAGGAAAAGTAGAAAGGGTCAAAACAATTGGGGAAGCTTGGGATCTATTTAAAACTACGATCCTAGAAGCTCAAAAAATATATATTCCGCAGGTTAGGAAAGGCACAAACAGGTATAGGAAAAAGCCTGCATGGTTAACAAACAGAGTAATGGAGGCTGTAAAAAGTAAAAAGAATTCCTTTAAGCAGTGGAAAGCTAGTCACAGTGAGGCTGATAAAACGGAACACAGGCTATGGCAAATAAAATGCAAGTCTGAGGTCAGGCAGGCAAAAAGGGAATATGAGGAGCATATAGCAAAAAACGTAAAAACCAACAATAAAACTTTCTTCAAATACATTAGAAACAGGAAACCAGCCAGGGAGGCAGTGGGGCCCTTGGACGACCAAGGGGTAAAAGGAGTATTGAAGGATGATAGGGAAATGGCTGAGAAGCTAAATGCATTTTTTGCCTCCGTCTTCACTGTGGAAGATGAGAAGTGCTTGCCCACTCCAGAACCACTGATTTCAGGAGGGGTGTTGAAAGACCTGAGTCAGATTGAGGTGACGAGAGAGGAGGTCCTAAAACTGATAGACAACTTAAAAACTGAAAAATCACCAGGCCCAGATGGCATACATCCGAGAGTTCTGAAAGAACTCAAATGTGAACTTGTAGATCTCCTGACAAAGATATGTAATCTTTCCTTAAAATCTGCCTCCATTCCTGAGGATTGGAAGGTAGCTAATGTCACTCCCATCTTTAAAAAGGGTTCCAGAGGAGATCCGGGAAATTACAGGCCAGTCAGTCTGACGTCGATACCGGGTAAATTGGTGGAAACCATTATTAAGGAAAGAATTAGTAGGCACATAGATGAACAAAACCTATTGAGGCAGACTCAGCACGGTTTCTGTAAGGGAAGATCTTGTCTCACTAACCTGTTAGTGTTCTTTGAGGGGGTGAACAAACATGTGGACAAGGGGGATCCAATAGATATTATTTACCTTGACTTCCAGAAAGCTTTTGATAAAGTTCCTCATCAAAGGCTCCTAAGTAAGCTCAAAAATCATGGGATAGAAGGACAAGTCCTTTTATGGATCAAAAACTGGCTAGTTCATAGAAAACAGAGAGTGAGTGTAGGTGGGCAATTTTCTCAGTGGAGGGTGGTAAGCAGTGGGGTACCGCAGGGATCAGTACTTGGTCCACTGCTTTTTAACTTGTTCATTAATGATTTGGAGATGGGAGTAAGCAGTGAAGTGGCTAAATTTGCGGATGATACAAAGTTGTTCAGGGTGGTGAAAACCAGTGAGGATTGTGAGGCACTCCAAGGGGATCTGTCAAGGATGGGCGAGTGGGCGTCAACATGGCAAATGGGGTTCAATGTGGCCAAGTGCAAGGTGATGCACATTGGAGCCAAAAATCCTAAATATAAATACACATTGATGGGGTCTGAACTGGCAGAGACTGAGCAAGAGAGAGATCTTGGAGTTGTAGTGGATAACTCACTGAAAATGTCGAGACAGTGTGTGACTGCAATAAAGAAGGCCAATGCTATGCTGGGGATTATTAGGAAGGGTATTGAAAACAGATCAGCCAATATAATAATGCCCCTATATAAATCAATGGTGAGACCTCATTTGGAATACTGTGTGCAGTTCTGGGCACCACACCTTAAAAAGGATATTATAGCTTTGGAAAAAGTGCAGAAAAGGGCAACTCGAATGATAAAAGGGTTGGAACACTTTCCCTATGAGGAAAGGTTAAAGCGCTTAGGGCTCTTTAGCTTGGAGAAAAGACGACTGAGGGGTGACATGATCGAGGTTTATAAGATTATGCATGGGAAAGAGCAGGTAAAGAAAGAGGTACTTTTCTCCCTTTCT